TCCCCCGTCAATGAACCGACCGACGACTTAGTGACCACAAGACATCTGTGATGCGCGACAAAAGAAGTTTGAGGTAGTTCATCCATTCAAGGCCATTAAACCACTTGTAGGCGAGTGGGAGTCATCTAAACGTGCCGTTTCTAAGAGGTCACTCTTTGCCGGCTGCGGATGAGACACGCCTGCGCTACATATTCGTTTCACGAATCGGGCCAGAACACGTTACGGTGTTGGGAATGAGGAGAGCGTTGGAATGTATAGCACGTTGAAACCTCCACTATGTCGCGAATCAGTGGAGTTTTTCACCACAGCACCACTTTCTCGGCATCCGGGTGACCTCGTGACCTATTATTTGACATTGTCGCCGTATTTGCATTTTTGGCGTACATCGATTTCATCAATATTTATAGCCGTCCGACAGCGTAGGTGTATTTAATTTTAGACGGTTGAGTAATCGAACAGTAGTGCTGACCGAGTGAAATGGAGCTGGCCGTTCCCGAGAGGGCGCAAAATGGTCACGCAATCAACGCGCCTAAAACGCGGAACAGCGAACGGGCACACTCGTGGTGGCTGGCGCGGCTGCTCCCGATTCGGGGACGGTGGGTGAGCGCGCGCGGACACGATTATTCTCATGTATTGCGTATTGGTAAGGTCCACTAGATGCAACGCAAACAGTTGCGAACGTGGCTCGGCTGAGTGAGACGAATTGGTACGACGCATTCAGCGGCTGCTGGAGCGTAGGTTCATGCAGCCCGGAATTCTACTGAAACTCTTCTGCTAGAGTCACAGAGGCAGTTGCAAGGGAACATCGCCATCCTTTTCTCACCCACTGTTATATCCTGAATATCGGCAAAACCTCATGTATTCGGAGCACGCCGCGTGCATTAGCCATGAGTGGGGACCCGCCCGAGCCCTCGCGCATGGCTTGCTGGGGAGATCCTGCACTGAGTGGCGGCGAATAACTCAGATGGTGCGAATAGTCCTGTCGGGGAGGCCCTGCACTGGGTGGTGGCGAATGACTCAGATGGTGCATGTAGTAGTGCATGGTCGGGAAGGCCCTGCACTGGGTGGTGGCGAATGACTCAAATGGTGCGCGTAGTCCTGTCGAGGAGGCCCTGCACTGGGTGGTGGCGAATGACTCAGATGGTGCGTGTAGTCCTGTCGTGGAGGCCCTGCACTGGGTGGTAGCAAATGACTCAGGTGGTGCGTGTAGTCCTGTCGTGGAGGCCCTGCACTGGGTGGTGGCGAATGACTCAGATGGTGCGTGTATTCCTGTCGTGGAGGCCCTGCACTGGGTGGTAGCAAATGACTCAGGTGGTGCGTGTAGTCCTGTCGGGGAGGCCCTGCACTGGGTGGTGGCGAATAACTCAGATGGTGCGTTTAGTCCTGTCGTGGAGGCCCTGCACTGGGTGGTGACGAATAACTCAGATGGTGCATGTGGCCCTGTCGTGGAGACCCTGCACTGGGTGGTGACGAATGACTCAGATGGTGCGTGTAGTCCTGTCGGGGAGGCCCTGCACTGCGTGGTGACGAATGACTCAGATGGTGCGTGTAGTCCTGTCTGGGAGGCCCTGCACTGGGTGGTGACGAATGACTCAGATGGTGCGTGTAGTCCTGCCGGGGAGGCCCTGCACTGGGTGGTAGCGTATGACTCAGATGGTGCGTGTAGTCCTGTCCCGCCGCCCACCGCACACCAACATCCTACGACTCTGAATTACTGAGCTCCAGCCAAAACCACACCAGACCTGTGACGCTGCCGACGCCTGCTGGGCTGGCAAGTCCGGTGCAAGGTAGGGGACCCCGGTCCGGCAGGCTAACCGCGACGCCGTATCAGCGATGATCTACTCACATCGTCGCCTGCACAAAAGCAATCTGGGGGCTATCGCTAGAAGCCCTTCGGACAACGGACCTCTGCGAAATGGGTAAAAGGTTTTAGCTAAAAGCACAGTAAAAGCCTTGCGTCTGCTGCAACACTGGCAGGGTATTTAAGGGCGGACAGTGACAATTTACTTCGGACTTCATTCCTGCATGCGCGAGTCGAGGGTGTGCGAAGCGCCCGGAGATAGTGGTGATCTGCCAATACCAGTTCGGTCAACCCCCATCAGCTCGGTATGGAAAACTCGCCTAAAAACCCAACATTCTTACGATTCAGCTGGCGCCACTTGAAGAAAGCAGGCACGCGGTATCTTCATATAGCGTTCACTCCGATAAGAATCCGACCAGCCGCACGTGCACGCCTGTCCAACACCGCTTGAAGCGGTACTCGCAGTCAGTGGACGGGAAGTGCTGCACCCCCCCCCCCCCCCCTCCAGCCTGCTTGCGGTCTAGTCGCCCTCAGAGGGAATCCCTAGGCGTGAACACTGCGGTTGCCTCTAGACTCTGTTCACCGTCTGGCTGTCGCGGTCCAGCCGGGCGGCAACACTGCTGCCACTTCTCAGGCCTGCCGGCCATCTAGCGGCCATGACACCGCGAGCGGCAACACTGCTGCCATCTGCCGGATCTGCTCGCCATCGGCCGGCCGTCACGACCCCCCAGGCGGGAACAGTGATGCTATCTCGCGGGCCTGCTCGTCGTCGGGTGGCAGCTCGGCGGTGTCCGGTCGGGGGTCGGCAGGGAGCTGGTTCGCTGGCCCCTCCTGCGGAGCCGGCGACGGCGGCGGCGGCGGCGAGGCGGGCGTCCGGCCCTGCAGCGTCCAAACGGGCGGCGGCTCCTCCAGCGGGCGCTGCTCGTCGTCCAACAGGCTGCGACGGGGCACACGGTCGGTGAACGGCGACAGCAGCACAGGTCGGCTAACAGATCACACAGACTAAGCGACGCGGCACAGCTCGCGCCTGGGTGGACAGCCCAGCCCGACACGATCCAGACGGCGGAGAGCGCCGCCCGCTCCAGCGCGCCTCTGACTGCGCCTCCAGCTACAAACCTACGACTTCAGTCGTACAGCCGACACGTCACGTGTGCTAACGGATGCAGTGTATGGCTATGACCCGCTACACTGAGGTAACACCAGGGATGGGGAGGGGAGGGGGAGGCACACGTGAACTGGATCTGGAGGCAGATGAAAGGGCACTCGGGAGACACGAACATGTCACGGTTGGTGAACACAACACCGTAGGTGCACCCGGTGAGCCAAGAGAAATAATCTACGACGCCAACTTCACGACCAGCGTCGATTTCGCACTCACAATGTGGGCAGCTGTAGCGGGCCGAGCGTCTCAAAAGGACTTCCAGCGTCCAGTGTGGGTGACGAGCGGTCCGAGGTGGCGGCCACGCTCGGCGCCACGGAGCCGGCGGCCGGCGGCGGCGCGCGCAGCACGGCCGCGCCGTCCGCCACCGCCGCCGCCACCACCGTGTCGGCGAATGACAGCGTGAAGTCGGGCTGCAGCCGGCCGTCGCGCACGGCCTCAGCCACGGCCGCCACGCGCTGCAGCCGGTCAGCGTCCGCCAGCAGCGCCAGCGCCGAGCGCGCCAGGTCGGCCGCCTCCGGGTCCCAGTGGTGGCCGAGCGGCTGCAGGGCGCCCGTCAGCCGGGCTGCCGCGCCGACCGCCAGCCGCGGCCCGCACGACCACACGAGCCGCTCGAGCGCGCGCAGCTCCTGCAACAGCGACGCCTCCTCCTCCTTCTCCTCGGCGTCCGGCTCCAGCTCCGGGTCTGGGTCGTCGGCAGCCAGCAGCGGCAGTCGGTCGCAGAGCGCGGCCACCGTCCGCTCCAGCAGCTCAGGCTCCAGCAGCGCTGCCAGCTCGCCCACGGCCCAGAGAGCCAGCGTGCGCAGTCGTCCGTCAGCAGCGCCGTCCGCCAGCAGAGCGGCGTACAGCCGGGCGGCGGCCGGCCGCAGCGGGCCACCGTCCGGTTCCAGAAGCAGGCTACGCCGCAGCCGACCGGCCACCGCCGCACCGCCGGCCTGCTCCACCGCGCGGTTAGTGACCTGCAGCAGCGCCGGCCGGCGCGCCGCGTACCGCTCGGCCAGCAGCGCGGCGCGCCCCAGCAGCAGGGCGCGCACCTCCGGCCGGCCGGCGGAGGCCGCCGACTCCATCAGCCGGCCGCAGACCGCCTCGGCGCTCTCCTCGGTGGCCACGGCGTGCAGCAGCTGCAGGGCGCGCAGTCGCAGCGTCTCGTCGGCGTCGCGCAGACACTGGAGCACGGCCAGCCGGAGCGGACCGTCGGGCAGCACGGCGCCGCCGTCGCACAGCCGGCACAGCGCCGCCAAGCCGGCGTAGCGCACGTTCCCGCTGGCGCTGCGCACCATCAGACCGGCGCAGCGCAGCGCGGCCGCGTGCAGCGAGGTCGGCGCGTCGCCGCCGCCGCTCGGCGCGGCCGGCGCCGGCGGCAGCGTGGCCGTCGCCGCCACGCACTCACACAGGATGGCAAAGCCCATAGCGGTGCTGGGGACGCCGGCCATCAGCTGAGACAGCAGGAACTGGGCGAAAGTGTCGGCCAAGCCCGAGTCGTCCGGGCACAGGTACGAGATGAGCCTGGGGGCGCGCCAGACCACCGTGTCATCTCACACTGACCTCGTGTTTACTCCAAACATCACCGGAGCATACAGCGGCTGGGTCACACTCGCAAAGGGCGCACCGTCGACATCGACTGGCATGCTCATCGCGTCCGGTGGATTACAGCTGGCGGATCGTATGGCTTGTGACATCGAGCCACCCTTCAAGTTCAAAAACCACACCGGTTATTCAAAGAGAACAAGGACGGGTCCACGTTTTTGACATGCAATACAGCTCAGTGTATACCAAAAGGTCGGCGTTTCCTTTGGCGTGCTGTTGTTGGATCACGGATAACAGCCGTGTGCTGCAGTGCGCGGCGCCTTCGATGTGGGTCTCAGTGGCGTTGCGTTAGCGCCAGCAACCGCGCGCCAGGGCTGACTCACCGGATAAGCGAGCACTGCAGCCAGGGCGCCGGCACGCCCCTGTGCTCGAAGTCGGGCGGCAGCTTGCGGCTCTGGACCTGGCCCAGGATCGTCATCAGGCTGGTGGTCAGGTGGGCGAACATAACCGGGTTCAGCTGTCGGATCGGAGGCCTACCGTCAGCGCACCACCCGCCGCCCGCGCCATCACCACAGGCGGGGGCGCACGACGGGGGACCCTGGCTGGTATACAGCCGTGAGCGGAAACAGCGCAGGGGGTGGTTTGATGCGATGATGGGGCCACGCAGAGCGATGTCCGCTTCAGGTGGGCTAGCACATGGCAGTGGTAAAATCATTCCAAATCTGAATGTGAGGCCGTCTTAGCCTCACACTGCGGCATTGTGATAATTACCGTTCCAGAACGTCATCGCTTGCCCGGTGCCGGAAGGGGGGCATCTCGCAAGGCCAACAACACGATGGATACGAAGCGATCATCAAAACACCATCGCCGCGCCGGCCCGTTCAGGTGCGGTATTGACTCCGACGTAGCGGCTGGGCCGCAGCGCTACCCCGGAGACGACTCAAGGTCTCTGCCGTGGTCTGCTGTATGGCTCTGGTAGTGGTCTGCTGCCTCACCGCACGCCGTGACAGCAGGCAGCTGACGGGTTCCCACTGTCGCACGGCGTCGCCCTACAGTCCCAACAAGCCCCGCCCACCGCGTCCCAGGCGCGGTCTCGGCCCGCCACCAGCACATGCTCAACACCCCCCAGCTCGTACTGCAGCGAACGTGAGGCACAGCTGGACGGCCGACGCCATGACGAGCGGGTCTCGGTCCAGCAGCGCCGTCTCCACAGCCTCCAGCTGGCCGGGCAACAGCTCCGGCGAGCACAGCAGCAGACTGTGCAGCGCGCGCGTCGCCTTGTCCCGCACCACCGCCTGTCGGCAGAAGCGCGAAATGGAGTCGCGCTCGGACAGAGCGGCACGGCGCAGCGGCGACGAGCCGGCAGTTCCGCCCGTGACCGGCATTATAATGACTAGAATGATGTAACGACTGAAACGACCCACTCGGCCACTGGCGTCGCAAAGTACCTCGTCGGCTGAAATGGTCAAGTACACACGAGTACGTGCACAAGAGCAGCAGGGACAGGTTGCCGGGCCGTTCTCCCGGCAGGCTTGGGCCCCGCACCTGGCGGTGTTTGAGCTTGCTGAGCACGGCCGGCAGGAAGGTGGCGGCGTTGTCGGCCGTAACCAGGTGGCAGACCATGTTGAGGCCGGTGCAGAGGACCAGCACGTCGCCGCTACGTAAGTCGCCCAGCACAGTGTTGACCAGCAGCACGGCCAACTCGTCGGTGGGCCTCAGCAGCAGCGACACGGCCAGGTAGCCTGCCAACGGCGTCCTCTCCTCAGACGGGCCTCCAGTATGCGATCACACCTCGCTACCAGAGACATGACCAATCTTAAAAGGCACACAGTTGCCAGGGTGTTTAATAGCTTATGCCACGTCAGCCTCACCAGCATTGAAGACAAGTAAATGGCCTCCAAAACGGCGGGAAGGCCGCCCAGTGCCGTGGTGGCTTGCCTGCTGTGCTGTCTTACCCATTCGCTTTTGCAGCAGTGAGCCTTGCTGCGCCAGAGTGATGGCATGGATGCAGATGAAGCGCACGTCATAGCCGAGCAGGTGACAGTAGACGGCCACACTGAGTGCCTGAGCGCGCACCGTGCACTCGGCCGAGGGCAGCGCCAGCAGCTGCTCCATACTGGCCAACTCGGCCTGGATTGTCAGCTAGAAAGGAATGTCACTGTCAGATGCCACCCCATTTTTGGTCAGCAAATTAAGATGGAATGTGAACCATTCAGGCTCCATATCTCCCAAGTAAATGGCAGTTTACTTGGGCCTCAGTATCTCCCACAGCTGACCCTGGATTCTCCTTGTGATGGGCTTTCTGAAGTGGTAGATGTGCTTAGGACATATGCTAATGATTTGGGTATGGGCTTGGAATGTAAGCATGTGGGAGGAGAGCATGGGAGCACACCACGCATGGGACACCTGACACCCACAGAGTGATATTCCTCCAATTTGTGATACAATGTATTTCAAGAAAGTGGTAAAAATGCTATTGATAAATGACAGTTTATAATACACTAACAGGTAGCATTAGCAGAACAAAACCATTGAGTAACAGCTGGCAACTAGTGCCAAAAAGTTTAAAAAGCAACAAGTGCTTACACACAAAACACAAACACAGGGTGGCACACAATGTCCCACCTGACTTCCCTGCTGTCACTTCAATCTTGGGCAGATACAGGGAGCTTGAAACAAAGGGTGCACTGCAGATATCTTACCTCAATTTCATCCTGACACTCACAGAGTGATACTTCCCTGATGAAGTCTCTGAAGGAAACTGGGGGAGACCTCCTGATAGGGATACTGGATAATGGAACTTGAAACAAAAGACGCCCTGCAGTTATCTCACCTCAATTTCATCCTGACACCCACAGAGTGATATTCTTCTGATGAAGTCTCTGAAGGACACTGGAGAAGATTTCCTGATGGGGATACCGGATAATGCCGCTGCACCAGCATCACTAACTTTAGGTAGGTTTTCAGCCACTGCCTTGGCAAGTTTTGACAGTTTCAGAGTCAAAAGAGAGGCCATCTTGATATGGCTGATTGCTAATTACATGACCTGTTTTATCTTCAGGCAAAAAATGCACCTGAAAGAGCAGAGACATGGCTAGTGAAGGATCTTTACAGCAAGCAGAGCTGTTGCTCTTGAAAACCAAGACTTAAATGAGAATGCAGTCCAATGGTGGAGTTAAACTAATTGTGATATTAATAAGAAGGGGGCAGCATTGCACCATCTCATCTCTAAATAACAAGAATGTATTACCAGCCAATGACATCTGCCACTTACTTTCCCAGGAAGGTAACTAGCAACAGCTGGAATCATGAACAGTCTCTAATTGAATGATCAGAAGTTTGGGGTTTAAATGACAGCTGGTTCAAGGACAATCATGACACTTGTGTTTTTTAACCTAAAAAAATAGCAGTATCCAGCATAGCATCAGCACTGAATATCTGAACAAATATGTCCTATCAGGGGCTGGCAGTGACTGCTGTTGACAGGAAGAAGCATGGTGTGCTCATTGAACATTTGAAAGAGGGATTTTAATTCCATTACTATGTATTTCCTAATTTTAACAGGAGAAAACCTGATTTAAGTGTCTTTCTTTACTTTTTTTTGGCAATATGCTCAGGTCACATCTTTGCTTCTGACTAAAATTTGAGACATCATAAAGGCATGGGGGCACCATTGCACCTCTATGTATTTCCTAGTATTGTAATTATCTGCTTGGTAAGATGAGCCATGGTGAGCAAAATGCAAACCACTGACTTCAGTGCATCAGTGCAGTGCCATGAACACAAAACACTCATGACCAGCACTGTGAAAATGCAACTGCTATGCCTTAAGTTAAGGTATCTAATACAACCTGGATGTTATCCAATTATTGTTGACATTATGTATTCAATGAAACTATCACATACATTGCATTACATTAGTTTCCCAGTGCATTAGTGAGCAGCATTATTCACACAGATAAGACAGTAGCATTAGCCTTGTTCCTCTGAAAAAACAGGACAATAGAGAATAGTTTGAGTGATATTTTTGCAACATGCCTTTAGCAAAACAAAACAACAGCAGAAGTGTAGATCTTACCCAATTTATTTCACCAACACTTCACCTCCGCTTTTGATTCGATAAAGGCATCTTGCTGGAATATCAACCAAACTATCCCCATTCCCCTGATTTTTCTGAGGAATAAGGCTGATACTACCATCTTATCTAGTTTTATTATGCTGACAGTGGGTATAAAGGTGACAATTTATACAGCCCACGTGTTGGCTTTCATGTTCGCAGGTGTTTAACTTTAAAATAGCGTGCCTGTACCTACGATGACGCATAAATATTTCACCTAACACACCACAAGATCTTTTTCAGGTGCACTGAATGCCTCTTCTTAAAGTTGGAACCCAGATTGCATGAACGACAATAACAATATTTTGTAGCTGCCGGGCAGGAATTGCCGCAAAAAGCGGCTACCAAAATGCTGTCCGTAGCAGTCAACATCGCCACCATCCACAAAAGCAACTCCAAACTCAGAAACTGCTGCACCGCCGAGTGCTGCGCCGACTTTTTTCCAAATAAACACCAGTTAACGCAAGAATACAAGACTTTTTCATTGCCTAGCCTCAAACTTGTGACCACAGTTCACCGTCTTCCCCATAAGAACCTGCATCGACTGCCCCAAGACAGTGCATCAGAATCTAAACTAGGAGCAAGCCGAACCGGTGTCCTCGAGACATTTTCCGAAAGAAAAGGCAGCTACGATTTCATCAACCGTCCTGAAACTGGCGACCTCAGGTCACAGCCTGTACCGTACCTCTACCATATCATATTTACGGTATACAATGTGCATGTGTTTAATGGTGCCCCGGGTTCTGAACGGCTCACGAAATCGTAGCTGCTCTAGCTACACGAAAACGTTCTGAAGAGGTCGGCCGAAAGGTGTAAGAACAGGGAGGAGAGGGGCACGAATCACAGCTTTGCGCGTAAGTTTGACACTGGCAACGCCACGGGTGTAGTTTCCCTTTCAGTTGGAATAGACGTGGGGAGCTTCACTCCCCTCCAACTTGGGATTCAGTCCCCATCCCCTTAACACAGACTTCAGTCCCCCCCCCCCCAACTGGGACAGAAAGTGGGCAGAATCCGGGAGAAACCCGTTGAACTAGATGGCACGACTTGGGTGGTGGGTTCGGGGTATACGCAACAAGCTATGCTTAGCAGGTACTCTGAACCCGCAGTCACCCATGCAAACCATTCGGAATTAATTTATAAAAAACTGTTTATTGCATATTTTGAGGGCTGGCTGGGTACTTTTTCCCGTTGAGCCTCACACCCCAACCAATTTTGCGAAACTGCGCCCCTGGGTAGCGCACATCAGAAAATCGGCCCAAAAAGGTTGGGTCGACGCACTCTGCGGTTATCCACGCTAAATTGGCAACAACACACCAAAATAGGACGCTGGGACCGTACAATGCTGGTAACCACATATTTCGTTCACATTCCAAGCATAATACATTTAACGTACTTCCGTAAGCCCGGCGTCATACCTTCTCTGTTTGCAAACACTGTTCATTTTGATGTTATTTATTTCGCACTTAGACTAGAAAAGCACACACCATCTTCTTTACGGAACATTCCAAGTAATTGGCCAACGCCTTTGCAATGCTGCCCGATAGCCAACAGCCCAATTTCTGAATCCTGGGCCAGTGCGCTTTACGTCTTTGTTTTGGTAATGCACCCGCTGTCTCGGTTTTAAAGGGACTCTGAGAATGAGCACCGACAGCACAGATGTAAACGGCAAGCTCTGCCTCCTGCCGGCAAACTCTCTTTCTCTACGCGTCTGTTTAACAAGTTCTCCTAAAGGCCACAATCTGTTGACAAACCTGTCGCCTGTGCCCATTTCCTCACTGATGTGTCTACCCGAGCATCAGCGGCAAGACAGTAACTGACAGTACCAAAAAAACAAAAAAAAAAACAGGAAATTTCTAGGTGTACTCCTAGGACAAAGGCAAAAGTAGTCAACACGCAAAAGTATGACCATAAGCCATGCTGAAATAATCAACTAGGTACAAATACACTCGTAAGTAGCAAATCAGATCTAAGTGTTAAAGCCTACCCTTTCCAACCTGGCCAACGAATGTGACACTAAACAAAAAGTTATGGCCCTCATTCAGGTAAGACAAGGAACGAATACCTCGCATATATAGATTATTAACACACGCCATTGAACCAACGTGCATTATCCGATGTCACTCGCAAGTAGTTGAAGAGTATTGAAAGAGGCCATTCAAAGCTTCTCAGCTAATGCCGTGAACATCACCATGTGCGAAAGCTGCTCTGCAGGAAGCACAGAAACAAGATAATAGTGGGATTGCTTGCAAAGCGTGACCCCTGAAGCCAACCCTCATTCAAGTCTATCAAGCCTGACTAGAGGACGTGAAAAACAACAGGGGAAGGTCCGTCGACCAATTCCGCGTCGGCATAAAGCTGCATCCGCGCCCGAACTCCAGGCGCTCCGCGTTTCAGACTTCAGACAGTTGATTAATGCCCGCCACCGCGACCCCAGCTGAGGAGAAGCGCCGCTCGCTGCGCCGGCGGCCCGCTCAGGTGGCGGCTGGGTCCTTCTCGTAGCGCAGCAGCGGCGAGCAGACGAAGTTAAAGACGGCGCCGGCGCTGGTGACGAGCTCGTTGACGACGTCGCGCTGGGTGACCTCCAGTATGGGGGCGATCTCCTGGGTACAGCTGAGGCAGCGCAGACCGGTCAGCTGCAGCTGCGGCCGCGTCGTGCCCAGGCCGGCGCTCAATTGACCGCGGTACTGCACGCGGTCGCCCGCCCGCAGGTTCAGTCCGAACGCCTGGAACTGGTTGTCGGCCGCCAGGTAAACATCAGCCGGACTGACGTTTAGGTAGCCAGCTGGCATGTGCACCACAATGTGAAACTGGTAGCGGTTCCAGGAGCGCAACGTGCATCGTGACGTCATGACGGTGTGCGCCGTCTTGCAGCGGCTGAAGCTGACCTCGTCCATCAGCTCGGCGTTGCAGTCTCCGACTGGACGGCCGTAAACGCAGGCCAGCGTCTGCTGCAGGCCCACCGGCAGGAAACTGATCAGCGCCTGCAGCTTGTTCTCGGCCGACTGGACGCGCACGTCGGCCACGGTGCCCTCCCACTCGACGGTGGCGCCCTCCAGCAGCTGACAGCCGTGCTGCACCTGGGCCGTGGTGGCGGCGTCCAGTGCCGGCCGGTGACACACGTTATAGAACTGCTGCCAGGGCAGCGCAGTCACGTCGGTGGGCGGTGGCGTCGTCAGATACGTGATCTGCACGGCCGGCAGAAGCGACAGCAGGCCCAGCCCCAGCACCAGCACCTGGTACGACGAGATGACGCGCGTCAGCGAGGCGTGCCGGCTGCGCAAGAAGGCCAGGCCGAACGGCAGCGCCAGCAGCGCGCCCGTCACCACCGCCTGCAGCAGGAAGCCGGCTTGGTAAAGGTGACGGCCCAGTGCCACAGCTGGGAATAGCAGCAGGAAGCCACCGATGATGGGGAGCGCAAACACAGTGCCGAAGAAGGTGCCGACAGCGCGCAGCACGCCACCGGTGGAGGCGTCGCCGGCAAACAGAATGGCGGTCTGGAACCAGACGACCGAGGCCAGGTGCGGGATCAGCACCTTGTAAGTGCCGCGCCACCTGTCCTGCGCCGCCATCGTGGCGTAGCAACCGAGCGTGGCCAGGTGCAGGATAGCCAGCAACGAGAAGTCGAGGAAGAGGCCGGGCGCCAGCTGCAGACTGGCCGCCGGCGCAGGCCTCAGCGTCGGGAACAGGTGCAGACAGGACAGCGTCACGTGTAGCACCATCGACAGCCAGGCCAGCCGCTGGTGGCGCTCGCTGAGCGAGATGAACGTGATGGCCGTCATGAGGGCGGCCAGCGCAGTGATCTCGGAGCTGAGCACCATCGAGTCAGGCGTGTACTGCAGCGCCGTCACCGTCGCAGCCATCGCCACGAAGAAGCGCCCGTACGGGTACAGGTTCTTCCAGCAGAACTTCGCCTCGGCTAGCTGCGTGTTCAGGTCATCTTTGATAATCTTCATCACCTGTGACCAGATGCGGAAATTGCCCAGGTCCTCGTGAAGCTGTAGCATCTGCAGCGTGGAGATGACCATGACTAAGAGGGCGACGTACAGGACGATGACCGGCAGGATGAAGCGCAGCATGCGGACGTCGACGAAGGACACAAGGAACACGACCAGGATCGTCTTCAGTTGCGTAGTCGGGATCAGCGAGAGCAGGAAGGCGTTGCCGCGCTCTGACATTGTCTCGATCATCTTGTGATAGCCGTAACTGACGGAGCGCACCGGATGGAACATCACCTTCTCCAGCAGCGTCATTTCCTGGAAAGCAGTCTCGTCATCGCTGACCTTAAGGAACTTGTTTATGGTGGGCAGGTCGCCGTTGACAAAGTTGGCCGCCGCCGCCACCAGCGAGTCCTCAGACAGCTTCTCGCCGCCGATGTGGCTCAGGAAGGAGATGGTGCGCGGCGTGTCCGTCGCGTCTTCGGCCGCCGGCGCCGTCGCTGCTACGCCCTCGCCCTGATCTCTGCCGTCACCGTTGCCGTCGCCGCCGCCATCAGCGGGTGGTTCGGCCTCAGCGGCTGGCTGGTCACCGTCGGCGGCGGCGGCGGCGGCGGCGGCGGCAGGCGCGGGACGCTCCAGGTCGCGCCGCTCCTGGCTGGTGAGCCGCTGCAACCGGCTGCGCAGCTGCGCCGTCGTGATGAAGTCCTGACCGTCGGCCATCGTGTAGAAGAGCTCGCGGGCAGCACGGCGCGAAAGCTTCTCCTCCTGCGTCATGTCCAAACAGTTCTTCACGTCGATTGTAGTTCTGGTCCGTGATGCCGCGGCCCCGGTCAAAGCACTCGCGCAGCAGCTCGGTAGCCTCAGCATTGCCCTGCTCGGATGCCTTGGTCAACCAATAGACAGCCTGGACATAATTCTGGGTGGCCTCAGAGGGCGCGGCCGGCGCATCCAGCAGCTGCTTGGCCAACACCAGCTGCGACTCCTCGCAGCCGTCCTCTGCCAGGTTGCTGCGCAGCCGACGCAGCGAGCCTTGCGGTCCGTCGTGCAGAGTCCACTGTTTGCGCGAGCCGCGCCGGCCGGACGCCTCTCCGTCAGGCACAGTGCCCGCCATCTTGGGATGATTGCTCAGGGCCTGCTCAGCAGACTGGTCAGCCACTTAGCTGACCTGATGAGTGTACACAGACACACAGCAACTGCACAGGCCTGCAAACAGTATGCAGGGGTCAATCACATGAGCTGGATCTCCTGTTAAGCCTAACTCAGAGCTGAAGTATGTGTTGGTTTAAGTAGGCAACATGTCTCCTGGTGAGTACTACAGCTCTAAGGCTGGGCAAATATTTGAATAAAGACATAAAATAGCTCAAATGCAATGTCATTCTTTTCAGTGGTATAAGCCACCCACAGCCATGACAGGCTCTCAACCTTGACCATGAAAATTGTGTTATGCTGCAGTGAAACTGGACCTTGGTGTAGGGCCAGGTACCTACAGCAAACAAGACTTGAAACAAAATGTGGAGCAGTCATTTGGTGGCATCACCATGACTAGGATGCTAGAACCAGAGGCATAGTCTCCTATTCACTTAGGGGGCCTAGACCCCCCTCCAACTCAGGCTTCAGACAATCCCACTTTGGAAAGAAAGTGGATAAAAATTAGAGGACAGACCTGTTTGGTTGCATACTTTTGGGGCAGGTTATGTCAGTTTTTGCTTTAATGCCCCACAACCCATTTTGCAAAACTATGCTCCTGGCTGGAACAGTAGGGAAAATGAGTGGCAAGCTTTTAAGGATGATTGGAATGATTCCACTGTCATCAGTCTGTTCTGTAACTGGCAGCAAGTTTTTCTGGTTTCCTGACATTTAGCAGTCAAGCATGGAATACTAACTGCAAACCACACAAGCAGAAGCAATGCAACAGATTATCAGGTATGTTAAGAACACTTATGATTTGCTGTCCTATTCACATTTTCTTCTCAAAGGGGCTCTGATAGTAAGCCATGCCATTACAGGTAGGTACATAATAATTCCACCCATCATCTGCATTCTGCATGCCATGTCTACAAACATCCAGCATATCCAATATTCAAAGAAAACAATCGTGGGTGCAAATTCATCACTCAAGCAGCTGCTGAGGAATGACACAATTTACAGTGGAGGAAAGCCTGATGTAACATGAACTTAGCACCACTTTCCTTTAATTTTCCCATGGGATTACATCCTGATCCAATTTTGACCATGCAATGCACGGTAATTTTTTACTTTGGTACCTGTACGGCCGACGGAGGGAAGAGCTACGCTAGCTGCAGGGTTTCGAGTATTGTCGTGCGGGGGAAAAGCTGTGAGGCATCGGCTGACATTGTGACGTCACTGAAAATGGTTTGCATCGATCGGGATGGGGGTTCTTTCGGGCCGACTGAAGGCCATAAGGCTTTTGATTGTGATATGATGTCACTGGTATTCGGCTGGGTATGTGACGTCACTGGTCGTGAGTTTGTAAGGCTCTCTTGGGTCCACTGAATGCCGTAATGCATCAGCTGGCCATGTGTCGTCACTGGTATTCGATTAAACATCAGGCGCGACCGGCCTCGTTCCATCTTTACTTTTCGTACCTGTCTGCTGCAAGCATTTGCGTGCCGCATAAAGGTTTGACCGAATCACCTCCATGTGTGACGTCCCTAATCATCACTTCATAAGAGTGCACTTAGGCCCCACGACCACGGTGTGTCATGGTCTGCAAAGTATCACCGGATAGCGTGACGTCACTGGTATTCGAATAAATACTGGGCGCAACAGGCCGTGCTTTATTTTTACCTTTGTATCTGTCTACTGCAAGCATTGGCTTGCTGGATGAAAGCTGCCGAACCACCTGAGTGTGTGACGTCACTGGTCACGAGTTCCACCGGTGCTTTTCGGCCAACTGAAGACCACAAGGTGTCAGCTAACGACGTCACTGCTATACGACTGATTGTAAGACGTCAATGGTCGTGGGTTTCAACGTGTCCTTTAGGACCGACGAAATGCCGTAAGGCATCAGCTGGCGATATGACGTCACTGGTAGTTGGCTGAACATCAGCCAACAGGTCATGCTCCATTTATACCTTTCGTGCATGTCCGCTGCAAGTATTGGCGGATTTTTTGCGGCCAACTGAAGGCCATAAAGCATCAGCTAGCGATGTGACGTCACTGGCATTCGACTGTGCGTGTCGCTGGTCATGAGATTTTACGGCCTCTTTTGGGCCGACGAAAGGTCATACGGCACTGACTGACGATGTGACGTCACTGGTATTCGAATGAACTTCGGGCGCGACAGGCCATGTTCCACCTTTATCTTTGGTACCTGTCCATTGCAAGCATTGCCGTGGAAGGCTCTGCCAAATTACCGGAGTGTGTACGTCACTGACCATTAATTTGTATACTCTTCTGAACCTACTATAGGCCACAAGGCATCAGCTGACGATATGATGTCACTAGGTCTCGACTAGACATCATGCGCAACAGGCCATGCTCTATCTAAGCCATGTTTCGTCTGTACCTTTCGCACCTATCTACTGCAAGTATTCGCGCGACACATAGGGGCTCTGCCGAATTACCTGAGCGTGTGGTGTAACTAGTTATGAGTTTACGCGGGTTTACTCTGTCTGACCGAAGGGCATCAAGCATCAGCTGACGATATGACGTCACTGGTATTCGACTAAACTCCAGGCGCGACAGGCCATGTTCCATCTTTACCTTTCGTACCTGTCTCTTGGAAGTATTGGCGTGCTGAATGAAGGCTCTGCCGAGACTCCTGAGTGAGTAACGTCACTGGTCAAGAGCTTTTTACGGGACCTTTTGTACCCCCAAACGGTATAATGCATCAGCTGACGATATGACGTCACTGGTGTCCGACTTAACATCAGGCGCGACAGGCCATGTTCTATCTTTACCCTTCGTACCCGTCTATTACAAGTATTGACGTGCTGAATGAAGGCTCTGTCGAGTCTCCTGGGTGTGTAATGTTACTGGTCATGAGTTTTTTCTGGCTCCTTGGAACCCTCTATAGGGAAAAAATGCATCAGTTGACGACGTGATGTCAATGGTGTTCGACTTAACATGAGGCGTAACAGGTCATGTTCCATCTTTGCCTTTCGTACCTGTAAAGTATTGGTGCGTGAAATGGTGGCTCTGCCGAGTCACCTGAGTGTGCGACGTCACTGGTCATGAATTTTTACGACTATTTTTTGGCTGAGCGAAAGCCATAAGACATCAGCTAACGAAATGACGTCACTGGTAATCCACTGAGTGTGTGACGTCACTGGTCATGAGCTTTTACGGGCCTTTTTTGGCCGAGTTCAGGCCATTAGGCATCAGATAACGTTATGACGTCACTTGTATTCGAATTAACATCAGTTGCAATAAGCCATGTTTCATCTTTACCTTTCGCATCTGCCTACTGCAGGTATTCGTGCGCTACAAAAAGGCTCTGTCGATTCGCTCGAGTCGAACTCCAGACGAATCATCTGAGTGGGTGACGTCGCTGGTCATGAGTTTATACGGATTCACTTGGGCCGCCCAAGGCCACAAAGGCCCGTGAAGCATCACAGGATGATATGTCGTCACTGTTATTCGACTTAACATCAGGTCCAACATGCCACGTACTTTCTTTACCTTTCGTACCTGTCTATTAAAGGTATTGACGTGCTGTATGAAGGCTCCGTCGAATCTCCTGAGTGTGTGACGTCACTGGTCACGAGTTTTTATGGGCTCTTTTGAACCCATTATAGGTTATAATGCATCAGCTGACGACATGGCGTTACTGGTGCCCGACCAAACATCAGGCGCAACAGGTCATGTTCCATATTTGCCTTTCGTACCTGGCTGCTGCAAACATTCGCGTGCTATATGAAGGCTCCGCCGAATCATCTGAGTATGTGACGTCACTGATCATCAGTTGGTAGGAGGTCACTTGGCCACCTATGGCTACGAAATTCCGCAGCAGAGGTGGGAGATGCACCATAGTTAAGCACACTAATTTTATTGTGCGCACCATTAAGTAGCAACTTCAAACGCGACGGGCTGTTTCAACGAATAAAATTTTGAACAAACGTAAACACAAAACAAAGGTGATCCCACCCCACAAACCGACGTATATGCAAAGCTATTCCGCCCGACATCACAGGATGCGCCCCTGAGCAGCTACGGTCCGGAATGCCCTAATGGCTAAATAATAATCAAGGGCGTCGCCTAGCGGTCATAAGTCTGGGCCACAGCCCGAATATCAGTGACGTCATATGGTCAGGTGATGCTTGATGTCCTTCAGTCAGCCCGAGTAAGCCCGCGTAAACTCATGACCAGTTACACCACATGCTCAGGTGATTCGGCAGAGCCTTTATGTAGCGCGCGAATACTTGCAGTATAGAGGTGCGGAAGGCAAAGATGGAACATGGCCTGTTGCGCCTGAGATTAAGTCAAATACCAGTGACGTCATATCGTCAACTGATGTCTTGTACCCTATAGGTACAAAAAAGCAGCCCATAAAGAACTCATGACCAGTGACATTACACACTCAGGAGATTTCAGAGAGCTTTCCTTAAGCATGTCAATGCTTACAATAGACAGGTACGAAAGGTGAAGACGAACATGGCCTGTCGCGCCTGGTGTTAGGTTGAATACCAGTGACGTCACATCGCCAGATGATGCTTGATGTCCTTCAGTCAGCCCGAGTAAGCCCGCGTAAACTCATAACCAGTCACACCACACGCTCAGGTGATTGGGCAGAGCCTTTATGTGGCGCGCGAATACTTGCAGTAGATAGGTGCGGAAGGTAAAGATGAAACTTGACATATTGTATCTGATGCTTAATTGAATACCAGTGACGTCATATCGTTACCTGATGCCTAATGGCCTTAAGTCGGCCCAAAAAGGCCCGAGAAAACTCATGACCAATGGCGTCACACACTTAGTGGATTACCAGTGACGACATATCGTTAGAAGATGCCTTATGGCTTTCACTCGGCCAACAATAGCCTGTAAAAACTCATGACGACGCACTCAGGTGATTCGACAGAGCCATCATTAGGCTCGCCAATACTTTAACAGGTGCGAAAGGCAAAGATGGAACATGACATGTTGTGCCTGATGTTAAGTCGAACACCAGTGACATCATATCGTCAGCTGAAGCATTATACCATATAGGGGGTTGAAAAGAGCCCGTAAGAACTCTTAACCACTGACGTGATATAACACGCGAATGCTTGCAGTAGGCAGGTACGAAAGGTAAAGATGGAACATGACCTGTTGCGCTTGATGTTGAGTCGAATACAGTGACGTCATATCATCCCGCGATGCTTCACAGGATATGATGCTTTGTTGCATTGGGCTGCCCAAGTGAGCCTGTATAAACTCATGACCAGTGACGTCACGCACTCAGATGGTTCGGCATCACCTTGATATAGCACGCGAATGCTTGCAGTGAACAGGTACGAAAGGCAAAGATAGAGCATGGCCTGTTGCGCATGACATCTAGACGAAAACCGGTGACGTCATATGGTCAGCTGATGTGGTGTGGCTTACGATGGGTTCAAAGCAGTCTATATAAATTAATGGTTAGCGACGTTACACACTCAGGTAATTCGGCAGAGCCTTCCTTCAGCATTCAAATGCTTGCAATGGACAGGTACCAAAGGTAAAGATGAAGCATGGCCTGTCCCGCCTGAATTTTATTCGGGTACCAGTGACGTCACATCTTCAGTTAATGTCGTATGACCTTTCGTCGGCCCAAAAGAGGCCGTAAAATCTGATCACAAGTGACATCACACACAGTCGAATGCCAGTGACGTCACATCATTAGATTATGCTTTACGGCCCTCAGTTGGCCCCCAAAGATCCATAAAAATGCATGACCAGTGACGTCACACACTCACGTGATTTGGTAGCTTTTATTCATCACGCCAGTGCTTGCAGTAGACAGGTACGAAGGTAAAAATGAAGCATGACCTGCTGCGACCAATATTAAGTCGAATATCAGTGACGTCACGATATCCGGTGATATTTCACGGAGCATGATACACCGCGGCCGTGGGGCCCAAGTGCACCCGTATCAAGTGATGATTAGTGACGTCACACATTCAGGTGATTCGGTCAAGCTTTTATTCGGCACGCAAATGCTTGCAGCAGACAGGTACGAAAGGTAAAGATGGAATAAGGCCTGTTGCGCCTGATGTTTCATTGAATACCAGCGACGACATATCGTCAGGTGATGCTTTACGGCATTCATTGCACCCAAAAGATCCCTAAAGCCTCACAACCAGGGACGTCACATATCCAGTCGAATACCAGTGACATCATATCGCTAGCAAATACCTTGTAGCCTTCGGTCGGCCCAAAAGAACCCCGATCGATGCAAACCCATTTTCAGTGACGTCACTACGTCGGCTGATACCTAACAGCATTTCTCCATCACGGCAGTACAGGAACCCTGCAGCCAGCGTAGCTCTCTCCCCACCGTCGGCAATACAGGTACCCAAGTAAAAAAAAGCCCAATGCACATGTTCACCTTTCCTTATTCATCTCATTATTTTCAGGTCAGGCTATCCCCAGACTCCATTGAACCCTTCACCTTGTCCCCACCCAATCTCATAGCCACGGTAACAAGCGCGATGTCATAGTTCACCGCGCCCACTCACTGCATGCGCCTTCCCGGGGGGCCTATACTTGTGCGCCGAATTCACAACTGAGGCCCAGCCCAAATCTTGCGTTAGAGGAGCCCTACAGCGTGCATACACCAAGCCCAAGAATTAAATCCAGACAAACATGCAAAACATTTTGCGTCTTCCTACTCACCTCTGGAATAGCCACAGCCAACCCCACTCTGGTGGCGGCGCCCGGGGAATTAACCACCAACCGCCTCACCTCGCGTTCGCTGTGTTTGGGACGCGAACGAGATCCGTGCGCGAACTCCAAGGTCAAGCTGTGGTGGTGTTGTGTGGTGTGGAGAAGGCAGCGCCGCGGGTGCACCTACAGGCTTGGTTACACCCCTATGTCTTAATAAAACCGGTGGCGCAACTAGGGTTTTCACAAGGAAAAGAGATAGGCGATAACATCACACATGTTTCTAAACCTGTTGGAAGCGATCTATGATGGGAAAAGCACAATGATATAGACCATCGTGGAGGGGGTTGGGGCACCGCCGGTGTACATAGACGTTAGGCCCGCAGCAGCTTGGCCCCGCTAAGTTTGATCCCACAATACAGATCGTTATAAAATTAGGACCGCGCTATCGCTCCTTCGGCATGCACTAATTTTGACAAGATAAGATCACCAAAGCGGCATGATACCAACGCATCAGGTCATGGTCAGACTTGCTCTTACATAGATTTTCTTGCACCATCATTGATTGGTCGATTGAGCGGGTAAAGATGTGTTCGTATAGCGTGTGAACACATTATCAAAGCCCTTAACCACATCAAATAGGCCTGTTTTGGGGAAGGTGTGGAAACTAATAACCTTGAAACGAGGGAACCTTTTCTGAGATTCCAGTTAAAATCTGGCGAATCTTCTGCCTTTTACCGAGCATCTGAAACATATTTGGGTCACCCGATTTTGTTTTTAGAGCGTTAGGGTGGTTTGTTTGCTTTTGGTGGCATGCGTGGAAGGAGTGATCTCGCTAGTGCCTGCGTTGGTGCGTTTTTTGTAAGTTGTGCGTCTTTCCCGGAAAACGTTCATGATCTATTCGCTACTTTCGCCGCAGTGCCGCTTATTGAAGTTCCCCGCGCGAACTTGCCCCGCGCGTGAATAGGCGCGGTGGAGAGTGTTGGCCATATGTGGGGGTCGTTGCTTAAAACTGGTGAAGTGAAATATTAGTTGATGTTGAGGAACCCAGTGACTAGCTAATCAAGTGTTTGAAGACTAGGGTGTAATGTCCCGGGCGGTGACGGTGGCTGTATCACCGAACTTGAAAGACACCCGAATTTGAGGCTGAGGTTGGCTCTGAATATCAGAAGTGTGTGGACCTGACTTATTTAGAACTTGAACTGGTGTGAAACATGTATTCTTGAAAAGATACTTTGATTATGTTGTCTTGCCCAGCAAAGCATTAATTGGTCTGCATGATCTTACAATAAAGCACTGCAACTGTGTCACACTGACTTACTGGTAGTGTGGTTAATGTGTCCTTGTTAACTGCTGAGTCTGGGAAACCAGAGGTATGGGTTCAATTCAGTGTGGTGCCTGTCCTTCCTGCTAGGGAGAGAGGCAGATGGTGGCATATAGCCTCAGCAGCCCAGTGTGTCATAAAGCCCCAATGACACAACTACATCAGACTGTAGAAATACATGTGCCAAACATGACTGGTGTGGGGTAACATCACAACAGTAATTGTTTGGTGTATAGCTGGTACCCATTTGTGTGCATGGAAAGTCAATTTTTCAAAGAATTGTGATGTTTCCAAGGCGACTAGCCAAAAATACCCCATAACAAGAAAAATGGTGTACCGTGTCTGTGTAATTTGGCCTGGCTAGAGTTTGGCACTCACAAGTTCAAGGTGAGGCCCAGCCAGTGGTGTTGTAGCATTTATTCAGTCAGGAAAAATCTACACTAGATGATGCCTGTTGACGTGGCACGGTAAACATGGGGTGCTCTGTTGCACCAAGCTCAACCAGGCAAAATCCTGCATCTGAGTGATAAGTATGATCAGATCATCTTACGTCTTCCCATGCCTTGCTGGTCTAGCTTTTCTTTCATCCCTAGGCCAGTGCTTTGGTGTATGGGACTGCTGACAGATGCCCTGGGTCAAGTCAACCAGAATATGATTGATAGATACCATGTGACATCTCACGATACAGGCCTTGGTCATCCTTGATAGCTGTGGTGCCAACCCCCCCCATGGTTTGTCAGGTCTGGTGTTGCTTGCATATCTTCCATGGAGCACATTTGGTGCTGTGTTACCTGGTTTCTGGTGCTGGGTTCTTTTCTGCTGCCTCTGATCCATCAAGGGCACTCACAAAAGTGATGCGCTTACTGATCTGCCTTAAAAGCTACTGCCTTTAGTTTCAATGCATTGGTATTTGCTGTTGTCATTTTGACACAGACTGCTGGTTGGTCTGTCTGTTGCTGTCACTTTTTATTACTTGACAGACTGTTCTGATCAAATTTGGTGCACTCTTATGAAATGGTCTTGCCCAATATCACCTTATGTACAATAAATGAAATGTATCTAGTTAGGCTACATGAATATAGTTAAACTCTCCAACTCTCATGAACAATGGCTTAATGGTATGATATGAAAAGTCACAGATGTGTCCTTCTTCACATGAGAAATCAGCAACAACTGCAGCCACAGGTGGCTGGAAGACTTGTGTAGTGAATTGGTGTGGACAAGATGGCTCAAAATGCATTCATGCATCCGCGTAATATATACCGAACCCCTCCAGACTTCAAAGCTCTGGTAGATGGCTTTCCGGACATCAGGAAACACGTAACCACAGTGAGTGTCCTCTGGGGGTCGTCGGTGTTCACTGCGCCAAGGCCGCGGCTGTTCCTCATGTATTCTGTGCGCTTCACGGTCGGATCGGCTCGAGGCTGCGGTCCCAGCGCACAGCGAGCATGTCCATGTACACAGCCATCTCCAGATGCGGCTCACGGCTAGTGTACGGTGGTCGTGCATGAGAGGGGCGACACTCGCTGGTGAAACTAACTGCGAATGTTCAGTTAGTCCCCACAATTACAACTAACATATAATGAACACTTACAGTAAATAATGATTGCTCTTTGCTTTGTAATGAGACTTGCTGTTATTGAAACGCCTATTAATATCATATGATGTAGCATTTCAGATCACTCAAAATATGTCGAAAGACGTGGAGCGCTGCTGCGAGCGCGTGGTTGTTTGATTCCCAACGCACGAAAGACACAGATGGAACCTTTCCCAGGATGTGTCGGGCAAGGTTAAATATGACTTCAAGGATCCGGACGCCCTGCGCGTGCTGACGCAAACGCTGCTGCTGAAGGACTTCCAGCTGGACGTGGAGATTCCGGCAGACAAGCTGGTGCCTACGCTGCCTAACCGGCTCAATTACATCCTCTGGCTGGAGGATATCGTGCGCGCCCTGAAGCTGCCCAAGGACGAGACCGTTGTCGGCCTGGACCTGGGTACGTTGCGCCCGACGAGGCGGCGCTGTGATCTTTGTCGGGCGCAGGTGCCGTCTCGATTTCCACGCTCGGGAACGGAATCGTCTCTAGCGCTTCAACCAGCTGCTTGAATTGCGCTGTCTTGGCCGGACTCGGGAATGAATTGCCCCAACAATGACTTTCTCAGTGAGGTGCTGCCTGTGAGTGGCTGGTGCTCGAACCGTGGCGCCGGACTAGTTAGTTATTCAAACACTTACAAACTCCGGACAGGACCCATGAGCCCATTTGAGCATGACCCTGGAGCTGATTTAAGAACGGTCCGTTAATCAATTTCAGCATAACCAGCAGTGAGCTGATTTGAGCACGACCCACAAACCGATTTGAGCACGACCTGTGAACGTGACCTGATTCCGATGTCACATGATAAGAATAGTCGCCGTTGCGCTGTCGCGATATTCGGCGCCTTGCGCACTGGTGGCAGATCCCACGTAGTGACAGGGTGACCTGCATGACTAGACTACAGGCACCATATGGCGTTACGTCCTCGTCCGTGCTCACTCATACATTGCGTCAAAGAGCGCTCCGCCGTCCGGCGTGTGTTCTGTTCACCGCATGGTGGAGTCGGCCCTGCCGCCAGCCGCACAGCGAGCGTGTAGGCGCGCGCGGCCGTCCCCAGGCGCCGCTCGCCGCCAGTGGAGGGGCCCGGACGGGACGGCGGCCGTCCCCAGGCGCCGCTCGCCGCCAGTGGAGGGGCCCGGACGGGACGGCGGCCGTCCCCAGGCGCCGCTCGCCGCCAGTGAAGGGGCCCGGACGGGACGGCGGCCGTCCCCAGGCGCCGCTCGCCGCCAGTGGAGGGGCCCGGACGGGACGGCGGCCGTCCCCAGGCGCCGCTCGCCGCCAGTGGAGGGGCCCGGACGGGACGGCGGCCGTCCCCAGGCGCCGCTCGCCGCCAGTGGAGGGGCCCGGACGGGACGGCGGCCGTCCCCAGGCGCCGCTCGCCGCCAGTGGAGGGGCCCGGACGGGACGGCGGCCGTCCCCAGGCGCCGCTCGCCGCCAGTGAAGGGGCCCGGACGGGACGGCGGCCGTCCCCAGGCGCCGCTCGCCGCCAGTGGAGGGGCCCGGACGGGACGGCGGGCCGTCCCCAGGCGCCGCTCGCCGCCAGTGGAGGGGCCCGGACGGGACGGCGGCCGTCCCCAGGCGCCGCTCGCCGCCAGTGGAGGGGCCCGGACGGGACGGCGGCCGTCCCCAGGCGCCGCTCGCCGCCAGTGGAGGGGCCCGGACGGGACGGCGGCCGTCCCCAGGCGCCGCTCGCCGCCAGTGGAGGGGCCCGGACGGGACGGCGGCCGTCCCCAGGCGCCGCTCGCCGCCAGTGGAGGGGCCCGGACGGGACGGCGGCCGTGCCCTGGGACGCCGCGCCGCGGATGCCGTCGTCGCCCCGGTGTCGGTGCGTCGCTGGCAGGTGACCACGCTGGCCACCGACAGGCACGGGCCCGTGTGCGGTGTACGCGCTGCTGGGAGCCCGGCGCGGCTGGAGGATGGTGGCCACGGAGCGTGACGCCGACTCGCTGGCCGTGGCGCGCCGCAACGTCCAGAAGAACAGTCTGCAGCAGCTCGTGCAGGGTGAGAATTGAGGAGGGACGGCGGTGAAAGTGTCGACGTAATGTATGCAAATGGACTGACATATTTTTGTTCTGGTGTGCTTTCATTGACGCCGCACGCTGGTATGTACACACCACTTCTGCAATATATGCTGTGACGACCGTCCAGGTGCCGGCAGACGCGCAGCCAGACACTTTTTTTTTGGGGGGGGGAGGGGATGTTGGCTGTCCGGGTCTCCTTTCCAAGTGAGCCTCCCCCCCTTTTCCCACTAAGTCGACCCCCTGTCCACGTATGTATGCCTTTTGAAAATCGTATTTCTTCCCGGATGCGGCCATTTATAGGTCTTGGCGATGGATGGCCCAAAATTGTTGTACGACGTTGGACAAATAGTTTCGGCAAAGCCATTCTGATGCACGGCAAGTTACGGCGAAAAGTCTTTCGATTTTTTTTTTCGCGCACAGGATACAAAGTATGCCGCTATAGAATATCTCATACGTTAGAAAATGCTGAATGGCGGTTGGAAGTGTGAAATTTGAGAAACAGAAATCTCCGATCAGAACAGTCAAGACCTTAGCGGGGAGACCCATCCAAGCAAAACACCCAACATGGATAACTGTATTGCCACACAGAGAAGCAGCGTAACATTTTGTTTCATGTGACCCAAAATGCTCGCTCGCAATATCCCGTGCGACGTGCTCACAAAAGTTTTCGGGCGGATCACAACGCAGAGTTCAGCCATCTGTCAGTAGGGGTCTGGAATGGGCCTCTAGCTCTCGAGGGCGAGCCTCCTTCGAAGTGTTTTTTTCGGTCTCACAGATGACACTTCACGATTGTGCGTGTTAGCCTTACGTCAGGGGGCCATGCTAACACTGTTTGTGTCGTCCAAATTTTAGCCTACGTTCAGCCGGAGCTGGCACGGTTCCACAAATAACTTGCCTGACGGGTCTCGTGCCTCACCCTCCACCCAAGACAGCCGTGTCGAGATAAGCGCTCTTAGTGAACTAGAAGGGTGCTGCGGCGATTTTGCATCTCGATGTTTACACCTCGCTTGCTGGTCGTTTAGGTCATTCATACCCCTGGCGCTGTACTCGGCCTCGGGAAATGGGCCGCGGACCGCGCCAACCTGCAGCTTTTGAACCGCTAATACAGCGCGCTTGGAGCAGTTCCGGCTGCAGGCTCTTGAAAGTCGCCCTTGAACATTCAGCGTCTTTGATGGCCGTGTTTGAGACATCTTGAGTATAGCAGGGACATTCCATTACGTGACGTCAGTGCCAGGGGTCCCTTTTGGACTTTGACACAAATTGGATCAGCGGGCCATTTCCTGCAGGGCCCTCAGGTACCTGAGGGTGGCCTCGTGACTCCTCTCTGGTCCCAATGACCCCATAGCCCATCGTTTCTCTTACATCGGCATCTATTAGTGGGAGCCTGGGATTAACCGCAGCTCCGCTCGGTGAGCCCCTTTGAAGTGGGCCCCTTGGGGATTTTGCCTCATGGGCCTCTTTCTGCTGAATGGCCCGCGTAAATGAGTTCCCCCCGGACCAAGGGGGCCCGGGATTTTCCAAGTCTTCGTGCAGGGCCCGTTTGGCCTTTAACCTTCGGGACCCGTGAATGCCAGCTGGATACAGGTTTGCCGTAGAGAGAGTGCGCGCTAACGTACCGGCGCACGTGTTGCAGTGCTGGAGGCCGACGCAAGCCTCGTGACGGGGCCGCTGCAGTCGGCCGGGCCCGTCCACTTCACGCTCTGCAACCCGCCGTTTTTCGACTCTGAGAGTCCGGCGGAGGGCGGCGAGGCGCGCGCGCGCCGGCCGCCGCCCGCCGCCGCCGCCACCGGCCTGCTGCACGAGGTGGCGTGCCCGGGCGGCGAGCGGGCGTTCGTCGGCCGTCTGATCGCCGAGAGCCCGCAGCTGGCCGACCGGTGCCGGTACGGCAGATGCGTCCGCCGCCTCCCGGCCAGCGACGCCACAGCGCGCCGGCCTCAGGGCCTGGCTGGCGCCCTAGTGTGGGTCTGTCCAGAGCTGTGCTCAGGCTGGTGCAGCGTAGCGTACCATGGACGTGGGCCGAGTGAGATGTCAGTGTTATCATGGCCAGCATATGCTCACTGCCCTCGAAGCGCTCTTGAACGGCGTCTCAGTATTAGGCAGTCGGGACGGGATCAGACCCGTGTAGACGCAATAAGCCCGGCTGGCCCGGCGACAGACGTGAGCTCCCTGCTCTGCCGTCGTCTAGGGTGCGGTGGGGTGCAGTCGGCTCGTACAGTGGTGTACTTTCGACCTATGTAGTGGTATGGGGTCTGCCCAGACAACGGGGTACAGTCGGCCAATACAGCGGGGTACAGTCGCCGCCCTCAGAGGGTGCAGTCGGCCCATAAAGCGGGGTGCAGCTGGCCCATACAGCAAGGTGCAGTCGCCGCCTACGGAGGGGTGCAGTGGGCCCACATCCGTCGGCGCCGCGCTGTCAGCCTGGACTGCGAGCTGAGCCGGCCTCCTGCCGCAGCGTGTTCACCACGATGCTGGGTCACAAGTCGAGCGTGCGGCCGATGAAGCGACTGGCGTACGAGGCCGGCGCCGCCGAGGTCATCACCACCGAACTCTGCCAGGGCAACACCAAACGCTGGGCCATGGGCTGGACATTCCAGGCCGGCCTGGCGCTTGACCAGGTCAAGGGCATGAAGCAGGTGGGCTGCCGACGGCCATAGATACGTGTGAACTTCGGCGGGGAGCTGGTGCGGTTTTGTGGCCGTAGCTTTGGGTTTTGAGCGAACTGTGCGTTATATGCACTTGCTTATTATGAGTTCAGAGTTCTTACGCGGAGAGTTAAGTTAGCAGCCTTCAATACACCGAGACGTACTGGTTAAACAGCATCAAACAAACGTTGGTTATGTTATCAGCGCTCGACGTTACACGTGATGCTCGTAGTCAGTTAAGAACAAGCTAACGTCAAGAAGAAGCTAGCATTACAAATTTTAAAGTTCATCATTTACGTTTTTAGGTTCGTGTAGAAATGGTTTCCTGTCCGTTGTGATGAACATTGATACATGCATTTGCATTTCCTTCTGTTCTAATACTCAATGTGGGTCTTCGAAACTTTTCGGCATAGCCGCCAGTGTTTTTGGCAGTCGTTTGCACAGTACCGTGTATTGGGTGTTCAGACGTGAGAGGCTCAAAAGCTGGGATGTTTTCTTATCTGGTGTTTAACATCTTTGCTTGACAACCTCGCTGAACGAGTACATCGTGATATTTTGAAGATCCATAACGGTATTCATTTGTGAAGTGTGAGCTCGTAATGCCGGGAAACTAGGAGTTCTAAGCCTTTACTCCCTACGTCATGCATTTGTTTATTTAGGAAAAACTTATCTCAGCCGACTTCCTTTCGACCATTTGACAGTCATTTGTCTTGACCTTGCTCTGGGTGTGTTTGGACGCTGGCCTGTTCCGGAAAGAGCGTTGATCCTTTTCAAAAACTTGTCGCCGTCGGACTGGTACAGTAGAGACGGGGGGGGGGGAGGGGGAAGGGTGTTTGCGCACGTTCTCACCCCGTGTTCTGCGTCCTCAGACGAAGAAGCGCGCGCCGGTGCAGTGTGTAGTACCGCGAGACATGGACGGCATCCCTTACGACATCCCCAGTGTTAAGCAACGCGTGGTCGGCTGGCTTGAGGAGCTGCAGGTCAGACTAGACTGCCCCCCCAGCAGTCTGTGTTTGTCGTAAATTTCCCACTGGAGGAACGCCATCGTGTTTCCTGCGAATTCTCCACCGGACGAACGCCATGAACGCTGATGGAATGTAGCCAGTAAGGCACGATGACTACCACTTTTGAATGGTTGTCCGAATTCGACTTGCTGAGATTTCCTATGGCATGTCCGAGTTTTGCTTATGCCATACCGGAGTACAGGTCACGCGCAAGGTACGCGGTGGGCGCCTCCGTATCGCAGGAGGTTGGCCTGCGTATCTGTGTATGGCGCTAACGTGTCAACCGGCCGACCAACCCTGTGACCGCACGTGCGGCCGTTGGCAGACCGAGGTGGAGCCGGGCAAGTGCAACAAGTACTTTGCCTCATACAAGGTGACGGCGGCGGCCGACACGTGGACGCACAATCGGCGGCGGCGGCGCGCGCAGGAGCGGCTGGGCGCCACCTCCGACCTGGAGCCGTCGCCGAGCTCGGCCGAGCTGGCCGGCTCGCCCGACCCCGACTTCGACCACGAGCCGGGCGCCGAGCCAGGCTCCGACCTGTCTGACCTGTCTTGGCGCTCGGACACCGCCGAGCCACCGCCCAAGCGGCCGCGCGCCGACTCCGAGTCGGCCGAGCCAGCGGCGGCCGCGGCCGAGACCGGCCCGGCGGCCAAGCGGCCGTGTCTGGAGGCGAGGCTGGGAGCCGTGTCGCTGGCCGAGCCCAAGCCGCGGCCGGCCCTCGTCTTCACGCTGTTCGTGCAGAAGAAGGGTCACGATATCCTGCTGCAGATGACGCTGCTGACCGGCAAGCTGGCCATGGACGGCATGAACGGCGTGCTGCTCTTCCTGAAGAACAAGATGCGCCAGCGGCTGGTGATGAGCACGTCCTCCGGGCCGGCTGCTGGCGCCGTGCAGGGCAGCGGGGCCGCCGCCGGGCCGTCAGCAGCGGTGAAGGAGGGCATGGGCCGCGTGTTGCACCACCTGCGAGACAAGATGCGTCAGAAGATTCGGCTGGACTCGCCGGCCGCTGGCGCTGCCACGGAGCCGGCGTCACAGTCCGAGCCGGGCTCTGTCCAGACGGCCGGCGGAGCGACCAGCTCACCGTGACGGTCGGATGCTCACTCACCTCGGCCGGTGCCGGGCTCGCTAACGCGCGGCTGCCTCACATGCACCCTGTTTCATCTGGCGCATGAGAAGTTGCACAATCGTGTTGCCTCGGAGATGAGAGGGAACCGGGCTGTGTGGGAGAGCCTCTTTCTAGAGTCAATGTAGACCGTAGGGCACGTTGATTAATGGTTTCAGCGCGCCTGCTTCGTTCGGCCCAAAATGTTAAGAGGCTGAGCATGAACCGACCCTGCCGTTCAAAGATGAGCCCGCGTGTGCCACGTCTTAGGGCAAATCGAAAAGTTGAAGAGACTGCGGTAACTGGTTGCGGTGCTCACACACCGATGGGTAACAGTGCCATTGGAATCACTCAAGGGCACAATGAATGCAACCCATGTCTTCTAGACACTATACAGCCCTTTTCCACAGTACACCATTTTCGCCAGTGTGAATACTTTTTTATTCAAGCAATTGCATTTGTGTTCCGACTGACTGACTGATGTTTGCTATACGTGATCTACGTCGCGATGGATAAGCTGTTGTGAGGGTCAGAAGGATATGAGCACATTTGTTTTCGTTTGATGTGTCACGTTTTCACACGCAGTTTGGATTAACGTCCCAGCTTGTGTTACGCCCGAGGACGTTGATCCCAAAACTGGTAGGCATTGTCTCGTGCGGTTGGGAGTACAGCATCATTAGACAGGGACGGTTGAGAGACCATCTCCCGCCAGACGCAGACAGTCGAGAGATGTTTCCGTCAAACGCGGACAGCTGGAGGTCCAGCTTCTGTCATACACTGACGGCCGAGAGTCCGGTTTCTGTCAATCACGGACGGTCGGGAGTCCGGCTAATCAGGCGCGAACGTCCAGAAGTTCAGCTGCCGTCAGACGCCGACGGTCGGGAGTCCAGGTACCGTCAGACGCTGACGGCTGGGACAGTCCAGCTGCCGTCAGACGGGAGTCTAGCTGCCGTCGAACGCGGATGTCAGCACGGTGGTGCCACTCGCCGTACCGTCCCTGACGGCTTGCGGGGCGTCCATTATGCCATGTCCAATGAATGCAGTCATTTACTACTGGGCTTCAGGAGTTCGAACTGCGTTCCGAAGTAGCTTTCAGCTGGGTTCTTTTTGCGGCGTGTGGAGTAGTACTTTCCTGCTAAGAGGCCCTCGCCGTCCGCTCAGGCGTCACTAGAAATTCTGGAGGACGGTTCCGTGACACTGCTCTGTTAGTTAACGTCTCGCCATGCTCGCCTTCAAACCAAAATGGACCAGTGATTACATTGTTGCTCATGGCAGCCAATGCAGTGCACACGCGGCTGCGTAAGTCTTTGAACACATTGGCTGCGTGAGGTCGTCCTGCCATTTGTATGGGAGGCGTTCGAGATCACGCCCCATAATTGTGCGCAGCGAGCTTTTCTCAATCCCACGATTCCAAGATCTGCGTCTCAATGACGTCAGCGCGTCAGGGCGGATGCGGACCACTTCACAACTCTCATCCATGCTACAAGGTTGCGGATATTACACCCATCCTTGCATAGGTTTGTCCATCAAGATTGAGATCGCCAGCTCGGTTGAATATATTTCTGCGCCAAATTCTGTAGAAGCTCGTCGCAAAAGTTTGAACGAACGGCACTGGAGGTAAGGCTGGTCGCGGAACCAAATCTACTTTATGGATCACTTCGGTGAGGGAATAGTGGCGTACAGCTGTGGACAAATGAATATTAATGAAACGATCAACAGGGTGGACGCAACTCTGTTCCACGCTCCACCCGATTTCTTTTAAGCTACGACCTGTTGGGTTGTGACTGGGTATGTGGTGAGACCGCGCCGTAAATGTTCTGTGCGTACCGGAGGCTCCCGTTTCAGCAGACCACAGCTGACCCGCGGGCAGTCTACCCCACCTCCACAGACGGCAAATGTCGACAACTTTGGTGTTTCACGCGAGCTCGCAGCTATCAGCATGAACTGATCACCAAGAGTAGACTCGCTGCATTCAGAACTTGCCCTTATTACGGTCCTGTTGGGCCAGCGCGTGCGCTTCTTCGTCCCGGCTGTCTCGATCAGGTGCCACCGCCGACAATGTCTGCGCGTTTAACCAGGGCGTGGGAGTGGAAAAACTGGGCCCCCCGACATCTTACCACGCCGTGGACAGCTGTCAAGGGCGTGGCGACGGTCTGTACATCGTGTATTTTAGTGCGATAATTCGATAAAGTCAGCATAATCACTCCGCACGTCTGCTGTTCGCGCGTACTCAGCCACACACACACAGCTAGACACAGATACACACACACACGCATGGACAGACGTACAGACGGGGCCGGGCCGCTGCGGGCCCGGCCGGGCGCGGCGGCCGGCTCCCACCGGGTGGGCGCCTCGGACGTGTGCAGACTACAGTGTCGTTGTACTGCCGAGCTCTGCGGCCGGCGGCGCAGCCGGGCCAGGGACTAGGGGCGGAGGGGGCGGCCCGGCCGCCGCCGCCGGCCCAGGCGGCCCCCATACGCGCGCGCCGCTACACACTCTAACACGGACAGATATCACAAGACGTGGCGCACGGCCGGGGGCCGCTCAGAACACAGACTCGACCGAACGCGACAGCTGGATAGGGTGCGAGGGGCTGCGCGCCAGCCGCTTCTTGGGCAGCCGCTCCAGGATGACAAGCAGCTGGGTGAAGTCGGGCCGGTCGGCCTGGTGGTAGTTCCAGCACTTCATCAGCAGGTCCTGCCGGGCATGGAGCGGGCCGCCTGTCACGCGCCGGCTGCGCCCGATACGCGGACAGACGGCGGCGCCACGCTGCTCCTGACCCGCATCCATGCGACGCTCTCATTTACAGTGTGCTAACATCAGCATTGTGTCAGGGTCACCAACCCAGGCTGAACGCCCCGGAGGAGTGACCGTATTGTCGGCATCGAGCGGGCGTGAAAGGATGTGCTTTAGCTCGACAGTGAAAAGCATTTTTAAATGTGGACAAATGGATAAGATGGAGACGCCGAGTGAACACAATTTTGCACTTGACTTCCGGAGCGTTATTTTTCACGAACGTTGACAAGTTAAAAAACTGCACATGCACGCAGGCCTTCGTGCACTGAACACGAAAACTCGGCACTACGGAAGGCTGGACAGCGTGAGATGGACAGCAGATTACTTACAATGCAAACTTCAACTTCAACAAACAAAGCTTTAAACAATGCACTAGAATGCTCGTACAAGTGCACTGAATGCAATGAAGCATCGAGCAGCGCCGCAGGTGGTGCGCGGTGGCAGCCGGGCAAAACTCATCTTTAGGCATCTCACCAGCAGCTGATGCCACCCATGCGCCAACGGGGAAGCTCAGAACGACTGAGCTACCCAGTACACGCAGATGGCGCAGCGCCCCACTGAGCCAGCGCGGTGCGGATGTCGTGCGGTGCGGTGCGGTGCGGTGCGGTGCGGTGCGGTGCGGTGCGGTGTGGTGTGGTGTGGTGTGGTGTGGTGTGGTGTGGTGTGGTGTGGTGTGCGATGCGGTGTGGTGTGGTGCGGTACCGGCGGCGGCGGCAGGCGACGTACCTTGACGTCGCGCGAGGCCTGTATGTTGGCGAGCGACTGTTTCATGCCTCGCCCCACCAGCCAGATGGTGGCCTCGGCTGGCTGGTCCTTCCAGGGCCACTCACCCGACAGCAGCTCGTACCACACCGTGCTGCCGGCGGCGCAGGGCAGCGTTACACTTCCGGCCGGCACACGCGACTCAGACGGCTACCACATCATGCTACAGCGCCCAAAGTGTCGTGGTTTACAATTCTGCGTTAACCGCTGCGTGTCTGGGAAACCGGAGGTACGGGGTTCGATGCTCAGCGGTGCCTGGCCTTCCCGTCATGGTGAGAGGCAGACGAGACCACAGAGCCTAACAGCTGCGCGTGTCGTAAAGCTCCAATGACGACGACAACCACATCATGCTGCATCATGCGACAACCACATCATCTTCCCGAACACTGATGCCCCTCACCCGTCCTTTCCATCTGTGGGCACGATGACCCATAGGAGACAAGAGGCTAATATTGACCATGCACGCCCCACACGTGCGCTTGAGACCATCTGACGTCTTCGGTGGGTCGACACCCCGGGGCGTCCCGAGATCTGACGTGTTCGGTGGGTCAACACCCCGGGGCGTCCCGAGATCTGACGCGTTCGGAGGGTAGACACCCCGGGGTGTCTCGAGACCATCTGACGTGTTCGGTCGGTAGACACCCCGGGGTGTCTCGAGACCATCTGACGTGTTCGGTGGGTAGACACCCCGGGGCGCCTCGAGACCATCTGACGTGTTCAGTGGGTCGACATCCCGGGGCGTCCCCAGCATGTCTTACAGTGCAGTTGACTGCAGGCGGCGAGATTTAACGTCTGCTATCGTGGATGCAGCTCACACGGGCTGCCCAGAATATGTCACGTCTAGCTGTCAACTATGTGACGGCCGTCGATGGTAGAACTATCCAATTCCCTTCATCAATTTAAACTACTTTCCACCAAACTACCAACTGTGCCTACACCGTCCGCTCCATCTCCAACTGCGGTATCCCCCTGCACGTGCCCGTGCCGTCCGCTGCGCCGAGCGTCGTCAGGGCCCGCGGCGGCCGGACCCACTGACCCGAAGGCGAAGACGTCCGAGCTCATCGAGAAGGGCAGGTCTCGGTTGTCGCCGGGCCGCAGGCTGCGCACGATCTCCGGACTGAGGTAGCAGAGCCAGCCCTTCGGGATGTGCAGGCGGCGCCGATGCCTGCCGCATGGCAGCCCGCTCACGTCAGGTCAGGCCAGATCAGGTCAGGTCAGGCGACGGCCCACCGGACGCCCAGCACTTGATGTCACACGTGTCAACACACACGAGGGCCGTGGATTAGAGGATACGTCTGTCCAGACGCTGCAGAGTGCACAGCTGTGTTGTAACGGAGTCGGAGTCAGCGGCTGCGGGCAGACCGGTGCACACATCCGTGGGAAGCCACAGCACGTGCTCAGGTTACCACCCAGCTCCACACACACACACACACACACCACTGATGGCATTCCAACACTTTACAAATGAGGCAGCTGCCGGTGTCTTTGAGACGTTGCGGAGATATTGCCAGCGCGCTGTCACCACAGCGTGGCAGTGGCGTGGCGGGGAGTGGAGGCGAGCCGCCGCGTGCGCAGCCCCGTCCGCCCGCTGCGAGCCAACCACGAGCCACAGCCCAGCGCCGGCTCACCCGGAGTTGGGGCAGAGCTTGGTGAGCGAGAACAGGCCGAAGTCTGTGATCACCACCGTGCCCGAGTTGTCCACGAAAATGTTCTTCGACTTGAGGTCCTTGTGCACGATGCCTCGGGCGTGCAGGTAGCCCATGCCCTGGCGGCGACACGCGAGCACACCGGTCACGCGCCGCCCGCGGACGGCACAGCGCTGCCTGCAGCGCGGCGCCGCCACCACAGCAACAGCCACCAAACAGAGCACGGATGTGAGAGACACGCTTACGAGGTGTCGGTAGCCCCTCTCCCCCGGCTACCGAACAGAGCAGGGGGATGAGAGCCACGCTTACGAGGTGTCGGTAGCCCCTCCTCAGAGCAGGGGGATGAGAGCCACGCTTACGAGGTGTCGGTAGCCCCCTCTCCCCCGGCTACCGAACAGAGCAGGGGGATGAGAGCCACGCTTACGAGGTGTCGGCAGCACTCCCCGCCTCCCCCTCTCCCCCGGCTACCGAACAGAGCAGGGGGATGAGAGCCACGCTTACGAGGTGTCGGTAGCCCCCTCTCCCCCGGCTACCGAACAGAGCAGGGGGATGAGAGCCACGCTTACGAGGTGTCGGTAGCCCCCTCTCCCCCGGCTACCGAACAGAGCAGGGGGATGAGAGCCACGCTTACGAGGTGTCGGTAGCACTCCCCGCCTCCCCCTCTCCCCCGGCTACCGAACAGAGCAGGGGGATGAGAGCCACGCTTACGAGGTGTCGGTAGCACTCCCCGCCTCCCCCTCTCCCCCGGGTACCGAACAGAGCAGGGAGGTGAGACATGTGCTTACGAGGTGTCAGTAGCCCCCCTCTCACCCGACTACCGAACACAGCAGGGAGGTGAGAGCAACGCTTACGAGGTGTCGGTGGCCCCCCTCTCCCCCGGCTACCGAACACAGCAGGGAGGTAAGACATGTGCTTACGAGGTGTCAAGAGCCCCCCCCCCCCCCCCCCCCCCCACCCAACCCCCGCCTCCTCCGGCTACCGAACAGAGCAGGAGGATGATAGTCACGCTTACGAGGCGTGAGGGGTCTCCCGCTACGGTCGGCGGCCATACTGACCAGCGATATGTGTTTGGCGATGTTGCTGATCTTGGTGAGGTTGAACTTCTCCTTATGCGTGTGCAGCAGGGCGAAGAGCGGCTTGCCCTTGCAGTAGCTGGTGATGATTGCCAGCTGCGGCGGGCACATGCAGGCGCCCATGAATAGCACCAGGTTCTCGTGACGCGTCTTGCGGAACGTAGCCACCTGCGCAAGTGCAAGCAGGACGTGACGGTGGCGCCGCACACCGGCACAAGCCCACGCAGCGCTCTGCTACATCACGGGCCTAAGCCAACAGCTGTCACCCCCGCAGCCCATCTGCATACCCGAACGCATCTGTTTTGTTAGGGCCATAAGAGGCTCCATACGGTGTCTCCGCAGAATTACAGTTCATACAATTGATCAGCTGATCAGAGACGTTGTCGCGCACACAGGAACAAAACGCTGCGTTTTAGGCGGCCCGTGAGCACACCTGCCGCACGTGCACGCCGCGCAGCTCACAGTACGGGGCGCCACTCACGTCTCGCTTGAACTGCTCCAGCGCCTCCTCGTCGTTCATGTTGAGCAACTTGACGGCCACCTCGCCGTGCCAGTGGCCCTTCTTCACCTCGCCGAAGCGGCCGCGCCCGATCACCTCGCCCACCCGCACCTCCTCAAACGGAATGTCCCACTCCCGCAGCGACAGCTGAAACGGCGGCGCGGCCCGGGTCAACATCGGGCCGACACAGGCGCACTATCAGGTCCCACTTCCGCAGCGACAGCTGAAACGGCGGCCCAGCTTGGGTCAACATCGGGCCGACACAGGCGCACTATCAGGTCCCACTTCCGCAGCGACAGCTGAAACGGCGGCCCAGCTTGGGTCAACATCGAGTCGACACAGCCGCACTATCAGGTCCCACTCCCGCAGTGACAGCTGAAACGGCGGCCCAGCTTGGGTCAACATCGGGCCGACACAGCCGCACTTTCAGGTCCCACTCCCGCAGCGACAGCTGAAACGGCGGCCCAGCTTGGGTCAACATCGAGTCGACACAGCCGCACTATCAGGTCAGCGGCAGCTTACAGCGGACAAATCCACAGAGCGCCGCTTGTATTCCCTTGACCACACATCTGACGGTCCCCATCCGCACTTGCTCACTGTCCTGATGTGGTGCACCCTCGTCCCTGCCGTGGGCAAGGTCTCACACCAGCTGCCACACCAGCCGGGCACCCCCGGGTCTGGCCAGGCGCCGCGCTCACGCTGGGGCACCCCCGGGTCTGGCCTGGCCCCGCACTCACGCTGGGGCACCCTCGGGTCTGGCCAGGCCCCGCACTCACGCTGTTCTGCCGCGGCATGCCGTCCGTCTCGGAGACGGTCGAGTCCTGCGAGTCGAGTCGACTGGCCACGGTGCGCTCCGAGTCGGTGGACGTGCTGGCCGACGTCTGACTCATCGTCTTGTCCGAATCCTGCGAGCCGACCGGCGGCGGCTGCGCGGCCGCCGGCGGCGGCGGCGGCGGCGGAGGTGGCGGCGGCGGCGGGGGCGGCGGAGGCGGCGGCGGCGGCGGCAGCGGCTCGACGGTGACGCCGGCCGGCTCGGCCACCTCTGGGAAGTTGAACTGCTGCAGGCGCGACGCTGACGCCGGCGGCGTCGCCATCGGGAAGGCCGGACTAGACGGCGCAGAGCTGTTGCAGCTGGACGTATTGCTGCTAGAGTCCTGGCCCTGCCGCACGCAAGCGCCCCCTCAGGCACGGAACAAGCGGACGCAGGCACTTGGTCCGGTACGTTGTGGGAGGGCCAGACGGTGGGCCCCTGGGCGCTAAGATGACCAATGCAACCGCAGGCGCTCCGTAACAGGCGTGACAACGTGCATCGCGTTCTTTTTTTACAGACACCAATTTAATTAATGAATTATCTCCGGTTCAAACACCCTCTGAACCCACTGGCCTTCTTCTAGTTCCCAACCGATCGCCCGGTCAGAGTGCGTACAGGACGGGTCCAACAGCGCGGCCACGATTCACCGGCCTGAGTGCGGCCTCACCTGGAATGCCGGGATGCTGATGCTGGAGTTGGTGTAACCGTGGTGCTGTTTGTAGTGAAGATACCCGGAGCTCTGGCTCTTGCGCTGACTTTTCGGCAGCAGGGGGGAAGCGTTACCCTGCGACATAGGGCGTCCAGACGGGCGTCACGGCGCAGCCGGCACCATCAAGCAGGCGCCGTGGGCACGAGCAGAGCCGGGGTCACGAGCCAGGCCGACGCCGGCGGCAATCGCTGCAGCTAGACACACACACACTCAACATACACAAGCATACACAAGCTCAACATGTTGCGTCGAAGGCCAGCCGCGCAGCGCAGTCAAAGCCCACCTGATTATTGACTTGGTCGATGAAAAAGTCGACGAACTTCCTGGGCAGACCGCAGGAGGGCGGCACTTGCTCCTCGCAGTGCCGGTGGCACTTGTACTTGCACTCGCGACACCGCAGACCTGCAGGCGACAAGGACAGCGTCACGGACCGTCCAGCCAGGCCCTGACCGGACCGGACCAGGCCAACAGGCGCGGCCCGTACACCGACGGCACCTGACGCGGCGGCCAGGCCGGCGGCGGCGGCGGCGGACGCGGCCCGGCTACAGAGCCAGCTCCGCCGCCCACCGCACTCCACGGAGCCGCCGCCTCCCAGCCAGCTCCGCCGCCCACCGCACTCCACGGAGCCGCCGCCTCCCAGCCAGCTCCGCCGCCCACCGCACTCCACGGAGCCGCCACCTCCCAGCCAGCTCCGCCGCACACCACCGGCATCGTCTGTCACGCACCGCCGCCCACCGCACTCACTCACCGTAGATCATCTGCTTCTTGCAGCAGTCGCAGGTAGACACCTTGAACGTCTTGGTGAACTTGTGCGCGATCACGTGGCTCATGCTGCCGGGCAGCGTGGGCGTATGCGGAGAGCGGGGCACCTGCAGCGTGGTCGCTGCCGGGCGCGGACCGAACGTCACACGCTGCGCCGAAACACAGACAATCATGCAACAACCACACACATAGCCACTCGGAGCAAAAATATGCCATACAAATGATAATAACGGCAGCTTTTTTGAAGAATGCCCGGACCTTTGCATGACAAAATAAGCGATCATGATGTTGATATCTCGAAGCACGATTAACATTATTGTATAATACAGGACGCTTTCAATAACCTTTTACTTCCCTTTTCAACGTCGCGTCCTTCGGTCATAATCAATGACACGCCGGAAGCTTGCGTACGGCGGTTAATGAGCTCCACCTGCAGCGGGCTTCTGTGAGGTGGCCGAGTCGGACGTTCACGCGTCACACGCTCGTCTGCCGGCCATCCGCCACCTATCCGGTATATGCCGGGATCGCCTGCGACTCACACTTGGTGGGCGTCTGGGCGGCCGTGGAGGGCGAGGGGCTGGCGGCGGCTCCCGGCGATCTCACGGCCGCCTCCTGGGCCTCCGACGGCTCAGAGTCGCCGCTGACGCCGGAGACAGCGGCTCGGATCAATAACGCCAGCACAGCACGGCACACAGACAGCCACCATCTGAACTAAAGCACCCAATATTGTGATAGCATGGGTAACCTTGAGCAAACAATAGTATTGGCCGCACTAGAATGTGTTGGCACCAGGCCTGGCTACTGCTTCCTTATTATGTGTTTTGCGTGATGTTACCTTAACCTGACATTTTCATCATGGGGCCCTACGACGCACTCAGCTGCTGAGGCTACATGGCGTCACCTGCCTCTCCCCCTGGCAGGAAGGGCGGGCACCGCGGGGAATCGAACCCCGTACCTCTGGTTTCCCATGCGCGCAGGAGTCTGAGCAGACGTGTTCACCACTACACTATCGCCACCCTACCTCAACCAAACGAGCGGCTAGGCAGTCCACGGGTGACCTGGGGCTTCACCCGTGGTCACCATCAGGTCACCCACCGGTGACCTGAGCCTTCAGGCCGCGCAGCTTACCGTGGCTGGGCGGCGTCTCCAGCAGCCTGCAGCCGGCCCGTCAGCTGGCTCTCGTGAGAACGTGACTTGGTGAGCGTGGCCGGGTCGCCGGCCGCCTCGCGCAGCCCCGTGTGATGGCGGCGGCTGGCTGACGGCGTGGCGCCGTCTGCCGACGCGGCAGCGACAGCGTCCGGTCACGACACACACGGAGATACAGACAGCAGACACACACGCGCACGAGAAGACACACACGGTATGAACGTTCGACACACCGTGCCGACGCTCATGTAACCAGTACAGTAGTGACGCACAGACAAACGAGCACGGGGAGGGGGGGGGGGGGGGGGCGGAGCTGCAGGCCAGCAACGGACGCGGTCGGGGAGCTGCAGGCCAACAACGGGAGACGACACTTGTCTCTCGGCTCCCAAACAGTCATCCAGGCGCCATGGCGGGAGTGGCAGAGCTGGGGATGGACAACACTGCCATGTCCTCAGGGCATGTCAGAGCATCGCTGCCCACCTCCTGACATGGAAGCCGAACGCTGGCTGAGCCCACGACAGGAGGCCCCTCTCGGCTCCACCCTCTCCAGCACGACACAGGGGTCCCGAACACAACACGGCAGGAGGCTGTCTCGGCTCCACCCTCTCCAGCGCGACACCAGAAATACGAACGCAACACGGTGGGAGGCCCGTCCCCGCTCTCCATCCTCTCCAGCGGGACACTGGAGACCCGAACACCGGATCGCGCCGCATGGTTTCGGTCCGCAACGGATCTCTGCTTTCAACTGCACGTCCGCCAAGACTCATCTCGTGGCTGGAGCCCTGCAACGGCACAGCGTAACCCTGGGCCGCGGTACACGCGTAGCAGACACCACACGCGTGTCGCCGACGGCAGGGCGTGCGCGCACGGCGCGCCGTACCTCGCGCAGTGCGGCCCAGCGGCGGCGTGCGCGGCGGACTCGTCTCGCCCACCGGCAGGCTCTGCGTCAGGTCGCTGAGCGTCGACTGCGTCTGAGAGTGGCACGATGACTCGGACGGCGTCGGTGCCGACGACTCTGACTGCTGCGTCTCGTCCGACGACGACACCGACGACCTGCGACGAGACGGCGAGTCAGGCGCGGCGCTCCGCGCGTCACACCATGGACATCCCGCTAAGGACATCCTCGTCGCCACCGGCACCGGCGTGGCCCATGATCATCACAACACACCAAGCGCTCATTATAAGGGCTCTGATGCTGAGAGGCTAAGGCCAGGCGCGCTGTACTATTCCCAGCGGGGGACGCCGGACTGGTGCCCGAGGGAGAAGACCCCGGCTGAGAGGATGAGAGGGGGGGGGGGGCAGGGGAGGAGGGCAGCACAGATGCTCCAGCGCGTGCCGATCTGCAGTCTGTTGCCGACGTCAAGACCAGTCCGACGCGTTGATCTGTAGACACAGTCACCTCCCGCAGCAGTCTCCGCACTGGGCGCCGCTCTGCTCTTGCACGCAACACGGCGCGTCAGAGCCCGCGGCGCTTTACAGAGCGGCCGCAGCGAGTGCGGCGGCTCAGTAGAGCGTGTCCGCACCTGGGTCTGCGCCGCAGACTGGGCGACGACGCCTCCCAAGAGTCCCAGTACAGCGGCAGGTCCGGACTGCTGTGCGCGTCACCCACCCCTTGGCTCTCTGAAAACCAACAACGTGGCGTCACCAGCTGCTCTGGTCATCACCGCGTCAGACAGCACTAGGCGTGCTTTCCAGGGGCGGAAGTTTTCCACCGCATATCTCACGGACATGCTTCGACCCGTCCGAACTGCCACCAGGTCAAAAAACAAAAAGCTGTGTCCTCATCATTTACATATGCTTCTTAGCTGTCACGAGTGATGTGATCAACAGCGCCCTTGTGTTTTAAAACGTGGTAACGAAAACACGTGTTATTTGGACCCGTTGTAAATTGACAATAACGTACACTAGCATCCGCATTATGGAGGCAATTAATGCAGATACTGGTGTATGTTACTCAGCAGTATCTGTATACCATGGCAAGACCTGGCCGTCAGCTCGGCAAACAAGAGCTAGTGTGACAAAAGCCACCTACAGGTGCACAACCAAACCTATCCTCTGCATCTGAATGGGGGCAGAACATGCAACATAATGCAAGATCAATATAGGCTGTTCAGGTACGACCCCCAAATCCCCGGCCCAAGTGACTATTTTGTTATGTGAGTGTTGAGGAATGTTACACCAGCATTTAAACCAAGTGTAGGGAAAACGCAACTCTAGAGGAAATATTTCTCAGGGAAACTGGCTGCACTAAACCTCAACAAACATCAAATGTGAGTTGCTGTTGAGCACAACAGCTGAAACCAGAATCAGACGTTTACTTACAGGGAACGAACCCCTGGCCGAATCGTGACCCGCGACTGACCCGTATACTTCCGCATGTTGTGCATGGCGCGGCCGAGACGGCGCACGTCGTCGTCGAAGCCGGCCGGCGGCAGCACGCCGCGCAGCTCGGCCTCGCCACTCTCCACCAGCGCCTCCATCGAGCTGTACTTGCAGCACACCATCTGCGGCACGGCGGCGCAGCGTCAGCGGGCCGGCGCCGAACGATGCCGCGAGCTCCGCTCCAAGGCGAAGAGCACGGCTGAGCGCACAGCACAGAATCATGGCAGACACACACCTGATGACAGGTGCACTGGACCATTACAGCACAGACATCACATACCGATGGGAGACACTCACTTGGTGACAGGTGCACTGAACCATTGCAGTACAGACATCACAGACTGATGGGAGACACTCACCTGGTGACAGGTGCACCGAACCATTACAGCACAGACATCACAGACTGATGGGAGACACTCACTTGGTGACAGGTGCACTGAACCATTGCAGTACAGACATCCCAGACTGATGGGAGACACTCACCTGGTGACAGGTGCACTGAACCATTAGAGTACAGACATCACAGACTGATGGGAGACACTCACCTGGTGACAGGTGCACTGAACCATTAGAGTACAGACATCACAGACTGATGGGAGACACTCACCTGGTGGCAGGTGCACTGAACCACTGCAGTACAGACATCCCAGACTGATGGGAGACACTCACCTGGTGACAGGTGCACTGAACCATTACAGCACAGACATCACAGACTGATGGGAGACACTCACCTGGTGGCAGGTGCACTGGACCATTAGAGTACAGACATCACAGACTGATGGGAGACACTCACTTGGTGACAGGTGCACTGAACCATTGCAGTACAGACATCCCAGACTGATGGGAGACACTCACCTGGTGACAGGTGCACTGAACCATTAGAGTACAGACATCACAGACTGATGGGAGACACTCACCTGGTGGCAGGTGCACCGGACCATTAGAGTACAGACATCACAGACTGATGGGAGACACTCACTTGGTGACAGGTGCACTGAACCATTGCAGCACAGACATCACAGACTGATGGGAGACACTCACCTGGTGACAGGTGCACTGAACCATTAGAGTACAGACATCACAGACTGATGGGAGACACTCACCTGGTGGCAGGTGCATTGAACCATTAGAGTACAGACATCACATACTGATGGGAGACACTCACCTGGCGACAGGTGCACTGAACCATTAGAGTACAGACATCACAGACTGATGGGAGACACTCACCTGGTGGCAGGTGCACTGAACCATTACAGTACAGACATCACAGACTGATGGGAGACACTCACCTAGTGACAGACACATTTAACTATCACAGCTCAGATGATACACAGCAATGTTAGTCACTTGCCTTGACACCACCATCACAGCACAGACAGTGCAAGCTGGGATGCAAGGCACTCACCTCGACTGCAGATGGGCTGAGACCCACAACCTTAAGCCAGAGCTGCATTGATGGGTAGCCATCACAGCCAGATGCCTCCAAGTCATCATTGGGGATGCGGGACTTGGCCAAAAGCTGACTGCTGAACAACTTCACCAGCTTACCCTGCCAAAGGTATGACATTCAGTCGCTGCACAACCCCGACATGTACAGATGTAATTAAAAAAACATGCTGGTATAGGGCCCCGACAATGGCCAACAAGTATAAGACAACTGCTGCCACCAGATTGAGCCAAGTCTTTCCAGAACCTTTCCTGACACATTCAAGAAATGTAACAAGATAACAAACAATGGTATGCAACAAGTGATACCAACCTACATTCTTCTGATTTATGTGACAAGCTAAGAAACATGGACATGTAACAACTGATACTAACCTCGATTCTTCTGATTTCCTGCTGTGTCAACACTGCACTTGTCAGGCACTGGGTTCTCAGCCCTTCCAAATGCTCAGCTGATATTTCAATCAAACTTTGCAAGTTTGTGCACCATTCTATTGCCTGAAGGGTGCTCTGCTCTACATCTTCTTCACTCATCTCTTCTTAGATCAAAACATCAAGGACACAGTGTACCCAATCTGATAGCATCAACAGCAACTGCTGAAAACCAGCATCAAATTACTGTGTCCTCAAGATCACAGAGATTAATCTCAAGAAAACCTGATTGAATAAATATTACATGTAAATCTTAAAGAATGCAGGTAGGCTTCATCTTTTCAAACATCTCTTCACAACCCTTTCTCTTCTGATGAGATCAACCTGACAGGGATAGTAGAGTATGTTTAAGGTTGTAGCTAATAAAAAATCATGCCAATAAAAAATCTGTATGATCATTCAAAATGCCTTTATTTTTTTTTACAAAAAATGCCACTTTGGTTCTTAACTTTTGGGAAGTAAATGGAATGGGATAAAATGTAGCATGCTGGTCAGTAAATGGGATCAACATTAGCATGTAGAGACCACACAAATACATACACATGTGCATACATTCACACAAGCCAGCAGTACAGGCTTACCACACACCCTGGTGAACAGTTGGATACACCTTGCTCAGGTAGGGGGTCAATTTGACTTCCCACAAGATCTCAGGAATTAAGAGAGCTAAAGACACCAAATTCACATGGTGTGTTGGCCTGTACATAAACTCACTTAGGTCACAGTTTAAGGCTCTTTGGTTGTGAACTTCAGGTGAAATGAGGTCAAGCAAGGTCAACCTATGAGTTGGTCTAGAGGACTGAAAATCACTTTTTTCAACCAAAAATTTGCTGGTTCCCTTAAACCTAGATCCATGTTCTAAGCAAAAGATACATGCTCATTCAAGGTCAGTGACCCCTTTTCACCTTTTCAAGATCATGGTAGCCAAAATCATGCAATACTGATCTGAGTTTTGCATTGGTACATACATACATACATGGTCATATATGTGTGCACTGTGCACCATACATACATGGTACATACATTGATAGCAAATAACATGAACACATTCTTTTATAAAGTAGTCTTAATGAATTGGATAATGCTCATGACTATGATTTGGGCTTTGGGATGATGAATGCCTGCTAAACTTTATGCTATCAGGAAGGCCAAACACAATTTTTTTCAAGGGAAATACACACAAATTATGAGCATCTTTAGGCCCTGTCCCAAATTTTGCTGGTAAACATCCATATCATCCATTTAAGGATATAAAGCAAGTGTTCCCTAGGTATACCTACTCATGAGTGATCATAGCTCTCAACTATAATTCACAGCATCAGACTGCAATAAATGTCAGACAGAGAGTTTGATACAAAGGTGGCAGACTTCATCAATCTATAACAGGATTCATTCTCATAAAATTCACCATAATGCCTAACAACAAGTATAGAATAAAAGAAAAAAACACAAGAAACTTGCATTTGCCATGCCTTATTAACCAAGCCTTATCACCATGAATCAAGTTTTTCAGGCAGTAAATCACATCCAAATTTGGAAACTGCTGCCACCATGAAAATGATACAAAACCAGCAGGCCTGTCTCTCTATGCAACTTTCCCCAGGGAATCAGTCCAACCAGATGCCAAAATGCAGTACTGAATAGGCAAGTTTAGATGATGATTTTGAGCAACAAAATGCATCTACTCGAATCGGCAGATATTTACAAGAAGAACAAGGCACTAGGTGACTAATAACCCACCTGCCTAATGCACTTTTGCTAAAGTTGAGGACTGTGCTCAGACCTGACCACGAGCATGTCGATAGTGCAAGGTGGAGCACTATGGAGCGTATTCGTGCGCCTTCTCATGTAGCAGTGCTGCCTGTGCACATTCCGAAAACCTTACCGAAACTCTTCAGGAAACCTATGCAGCCACGCACTTTGACTCCACAGGGACTGCTGGTATATCATTTCATATTTTAATATTCACACCTAACCCGTAGCAGCAGTCAGCTGTTGGTGGACGCGAAAAGATGGCTGTAGTCATTCGCATTTGTCGCATTTGTATTTTTGGTACATTTGTTCAAGCATTTCACGAATTCATATTCGAAGTCTCACTAAAGTTATGCCATTCTGGACGTTTTGTCCTTTGGCGGGCTACTATGACGGATGAACAAACAAGATCACACAAATATAGTTAAATGTTTAAACCACACCACAACTGCAAATTTTCCTTGAATAACTTTATGAGCTGATAGCTACATAGTGGTTAACCTTTTGCAACATGCAATGAGCAGCCTCCACTAGGCGTTGTGCATTGGACAATGTGTGCTCACGCAGCTCACCTTCGAAAAGAACACAGATGACCAGAAAGAGAAAAAAGACGAAAGTATTGTGATCTGTGAACATGCTTTGACACATGTAAGCACAAAACCGTGATACCCTTCATTGACCTTGAATTTGACTCTAGAGTTGCTCAGCGCTATAGCATCTTATAGTCATAAATTTTTGCGCAATTCTTTGAAGTTATCAACTGCACGAAATTTGATAATGAGGTTGCACGATAAAATGTTATATTAACTGAAGTGAAATTTCAGTTCATGCAGTTTCAGTTTAACGCAGGTTGGATTTGATGATGAACTCAATTACGAGGGTCCTTGGCTATGGTCTCAAGTCTGAAAATTCATGGTCCCTGGGCGTTTCATGCGAATTGGGGCCGGAGGTGCGGGCGGCGATTGGTAGCCTATTGCTGGCCTGGCGTTTGCAATCTGGTGAAAGTGCTGTTTAATATATCGACGCGAAGACTCTTGTCGCCATTAACGCCTCTTACATTCTCCAGAATTTAAGTGGCGTCTGCCAGTCTGTGATGGTAAGATCCGACAATTTTACTGAATATACTTCAAGCTGCAAAAATGCATGCGTTGTCATACGTGCACGGCCGAGCATATTCAGGTTGAGAGTGGAATGTGTCCTCATCAGAATCTACCACTATTGGGATTTCTCGCCTGGCATGACGATGTAAATAAATATTGACTTACATTGGCATGTCAAAACACGTGAAAAAACATTTTTAGAATTAAATGTTTTGAACATGATATCAATATCAGTGCACCAGTTTTAGTACATTTGTGCTTAAAGTCTCAGAAATCAGAGTTGGTACATAATAACCACCAATTTCAGGGCATATACAGCCAACATGTGAAAGACTTATTGTGTTGTAAAGAAAATCAGATGCAAAAATAGTCTGAAAATTTAGCACAGGTTGACCTCATAATAGTTTGGTGTATGCAAGTAGAAGATTCTGCTCTGAGACAATATGTAGGTGTTTGATACCAATGGATGATTTTCTTGTATACCTGAATATAGTTAAGTCATTCTCCCTGTGAGACTAAATGGGTGGCTGCGTTGCAGATAGAATGACAAGCCACTCCCCCCGTGAGACTAAATAGGTAATTGCATTGCAGATAGAATGACTGTTTTTTTAGCATTATTATCTTGTGTTTGTGCACTTAATGTTATGGTACATAGGGGTGTAGCTTCCTGGAAGGGAATGCATTTTCAGAAGTATTATATGGATGTGTTTAGCCATTTTCTGCTGCTCAGCTTCCAGCTGACCTGTTAAGTGAAACTGCCTACATATTTGGTATGGTGAGTGCAATAGAATGGCAGGGCAAAATATCTATACCATGGCATTGTTGTGATTCATTTTTGTTTACAATGCTGCAGCTGGATAACACATTCATTCATATTCCCTTGCAGGTAGTCTCTTAACAGGGACCAGCACAGTTTTTGTTGTAATGCAAGGGTTCATAAGCACTGGAAATGCCATCAAGTGCTATGTTGCCAGACTGCAAAAAAATGCAGGTTATGCTCTACATGTCTAGTATAGTAATGATGTTTAGGCAACAATTTCAGAGCATGTGCACCATAAATTTGAGTGCTAAAAGCTGAGTGCATGAGTGCCACCAAGATTGGAGCATAGGAACAAATTTTGTAGGGAATTATGAGCAATATGTATGAAGTGCATCAGGCTCAGCTCACAGACATTGAGCAGGTACCCAGAAAATTGGTTGGATTGTTTCAGACTAGTGGCAGAGAAGGCATGGTTCCATTCTGAGTCCCAGATATCTTATCAATATGCCTGTGACCTGTTGATAGGCAGCTGGCAACTGGCTGATATGGAAGTGAGCTCAAGCCATGCCTAAGGTATTCCCCAAGTACCTCAATATACAGGATATATTTTTGCACTTACCAGGGTAAAATTACTGCGTGGGAAGCACAGCACGGCAAATGGCTCCTTATATGGTTGTAGAGGAAGTGTGAGATGAATATCTACATTTGACTTGTCCTGAATGCACTGCACACACAAATTGTATTACATAGCAATTTTTCAGTGAAAGAGTAAGAAGTACCAAAGGGATCATATGGAGTTGCATATCTCCTATGACTTTTCACTAAAAGGTTGATAGGGTAATTTTATTTGCTGGCTCCATGACAGATGACATATTGCATGCTGTTGAATGAATATGTTTGTATTTGATATGTATATGCTGATATAATTGTCAATGTCATGCTCAGGAAACCTTCTTCCAGTCCCATTGTTGTAACAAACCCATTTTTTGTTTGACAGGATATGGATAACAGCATGAAGCAGGTGCTGGAAGGCCAGCTGTCCAAATACACCAATGTGATGAAAGGCTGGCAGTATAGATGGTTTGTCTTAAACCCTGAGAGTGGAACTCTGAGCTACTTTATGGTGAGCTTCAGCACATGCACATGGATACAGGGGGGTGCATTGCTGCTTAATAGAGGTAAATTTTCTGCACTGGTAACTTAGAAGAAGAATGAGCCTCAATTCTGCCATGCAAATTCAAAGCAACAGAAACCTTATTGTTACAGCATGTGACCTGTGGCCTTCGCTTTTCATGATAACATTGTTCAGTGAACAAGAGATTTGATTTTAGTCCAGAGTCCATTTGATTTAGTCCCTTAGCTATCAAGAGAGGACAATGCCAAGGTGGTGAGGGCTCTACCTGAATGTGTAGTGGTCTAATTTAGGGATATGTTTTGTCCATTCTTCTCCTTGCTATGATTTGCTAAGATGGCAGCTTTCACCTGTATTGTCCAGTGCTCCAGCAGCATCCCTGTCTCTGCCCCCACCTGTGATCTATCACCTGGCATGGTGACACTGCACTGCCGCCCCTGGTGACAGTGCTGGACACATGCCTCAGGTGGACGAGCAGCGATCGAGCCGGGCGCGTGGCTCGATCCACCTGGCCGGCGCCGTGGTTTGCCCCAGCGACGAGGACTCGCACACATTCTCGGTCAACTCGGCGGCCGGCGAGCTGTACCGCCTGCGCGCCTCCGACGCCCGCCAGCGCCAGCAGTGGGTCGACCGACTCCGGCTCGTCATCGAGATGTTCAACCGCGTTCAGGCCGAGGTAGGGGCGCCGACCGGCAGACACGGCGGCCAGATCTGCCGCTGCGCTTGCCCAGCGGCCACGCTGCATGAGTGCAGCACCTCCTGCCAACGCACGCTGGCAGGTGTTGTGTTCGGAGCCGTTTGGATCAGGGTAGTCAGCGTCGATCGCAAGTGTGTTGTAAAACTGAAGGCGGATCTCGCTGGTTTATGAAAAAGACCTTCATATGACAAAAACAGCCTATATAAAGGGCCTAGTGCAGGCCAAGGTACGGTGTTGCGTCCACGATGCAAGCCCGCCTGGCTACTGTGGTGGAGGCGGGTCGGCCGCCGCCGTGACGTCCGTCTTGTGACCGTGTGACCCGCGCGCCGGCAGAGCGGGTCGTCGCCGCCGCACGGCGAGCCACTCTCGCTGTCGGTGTCGCCGCGCCAGTACGAGGCGCCGCTGTCGGTGCTGAGCTCGCTGCACGACGCCAGCGCCGCCCTCCAGCAGATGGCCGCCCGACACGGACACCTGTGCACCGCCGTCCGACAGCTGCCCTCGCACGGTAACGTCCCGCCTTCCCTGGTGCGCAGCTGCCCGCTCACGCTCGCGTCCGATAGGCTCCGTTCGCGGCAACGTTCGGCTGCTGCTGCCGGCACACGGCGGACTTGGTCGATGCTGCGCGCTGTGCGGCCACTGCGCCACAGATGGTCGGCACATGCTTGCTTTGGCGGCGAGACTGGTCCACACCACATGGTCCTGCTTTTGCAGGCTCGCTACTGACCTACAGGCACTTTTACGTGATCTAGGTCGCATTTTTTTTTTGCGTGTTTCGGTGTTGGACGACGCCATTCAGAGGTTTTTATATTTCCTCGCGATGTTTTCGAGGCGCAACGTAGGGCGGCCGCCGGCATCTGACCGCACCTACGTCTGCGTGCCGACAGCCTCTGAGGACGTGACGGTGACCAGCACCGACTCGGACCTGCTGTTGCTGATGGCCACCTCGCAGGCGACGCTGCTCTGTCTGGAGCAGTGCTACTCAATCCTGCAGCAGCAGCGCTCGGCGGCGGCGCTGCCCATCGGCGCGCCGCTGCCGGCCGGCGACAGGAGCAGCCTCAGGCTCGGCGCCACCCGCGCCCGGCCCGAGAAGGACTTCCTCGCGGACGTGGCCGACTGGTTCGACACCAACTTCGGCACGGCCAAGACGTGAGTGGCAGCGGGTGGCGCCGCCCGCGTGCCGTGAGTCGACATCCCGGTCTGGACCGGACACCGGGCGCTGGCCAGCACCCGCTCACTGGCCCGCGCAAGGCAGCCGCACGGCACCGGCAGCCACACTTGCTCAAGCGTCTTCAAAACGGAGGCGGCGTCAGTTGAAACTGCCACGTATTTTTCAGTGACGGCCATGACATGTCACCGTTGCTAACGGGGCGCATCCCATTTTCTCTCTAACTGCCGTTTGTTTTGGCTGCGTGATTGGCTTTTGACTAACGCATTTTGCTTCGGCGAGCCGACTGGACGCGTGTGCGTGCGCGTGAGCGCGACTAACGGCACGCCCGGTCCGCAGACAGCGGAAGGTTTCGCACGCCAGCCCGCCGCGGCCGGCCGCGGCTCCGGCTGCAGCTCAGGCGGCCCCACCGCCGGCGGCGCCCGGCCGCACGCCAGCCGCTATAGGTCGGTCGGCCGGGACAGCTGGCGCCCGTGGGGCTGCACGGATGGGTGGAGCTGGCGTAGCAGGCGGGCGCACGCAGTGTGGCTTGAAAATGACTAGGCTTGTTGGCGCTAGCAGGGCTGCTGTCTGTTTGTACCGATTGTCTTCCCTGGGCGCCATTTGCCCTGAGTTCAGAATGGAATTGACTTGGTCTAGGTTAGGGTAGTTTAGGAGGTTCATGGGAAGTTGTAATTAAACATCTATTTTGTTGAAGGTGCGACACCATTGTCGTCTGCCCGGTTTGATTTATCTTTCGTCATTCCATTCATTCGTTCATTTAACCATATGCTTTTCCCGCTGTCTGTCATAACACGCCGGTGTTCGATCGCGTCCGCTCTCCCCGCACTCGCGTCCAGTGATGGGTTGCTGACCCCCCCCCCTCCCCCCTCTCCCCGAGTCTGTGCGGCAGCCGTCTGTGAGGCATGACCGATTCATGCGAGGCGTGCTCGGTTTGTGTGGTGGCGTGACCGGTCTGTGCGGGGCGTGACCGGTCTGTGCAGGGCGTGACCGGTTTGTGCGGGGCGTGCTCGGTTTGTGTGGTGGCGTGACCGGTCTGTGTGCGCCGGCAGCGCGGCCCGGCAGTGAGGCGGAGGAGGTGGAGGATCCGCCGCCGCCGCCGCCGGCTGCTGTGCCGCCAGAGGCCGGCTCGGCGCTGCGGCCGCTGCTGGCCACGCTGAAGCTGGGCGCCGACCTGACTCAGGTGCGCCTGCCGGCCGCCCTGCTCGACCCGCGCTCCCTGCTGGAGCTGTACTCTGAGCTCTGGTCCCGGCCCGACTCGTTCGTCCGGTGAGTCGGCCGTGCCCCGGCCATAGCGGCGCACGGCACGTGCGGTGCGCCGCTGGTATAGTCTTGTCCGTACATATTGCTCAGAACGTTTACAGGCGTGTGTAAGCGGAAGCCTGCGCAGCGCGATTCGACCGCTGGCCGAGTCGGGGGCCGGGGGCACACATGTTCGGCGCAGGTGATAGCGTTGGTATTGGTATTGTGTGGACCCTATACTGCTGGTGTTCCCTGGGCACCCCGGGCATCCCCAGAGCGGGGATGTGACCGCGTACCGGTGGCGAGAGCCCGCAGCGACTGCCTGGTGACCGGCGCGCACGCCTCCGTCTTGTCCGCGCAGGATCGCGCAGGCCGACTCAGCTGCCGAACGCATGTGCCGCGTGCTGGAGTGGTACGTGACGTCACTGTGCGCCGGCTGCCCGCGCGCCAGCAAGCCCTACAACCCGGTGCTGGGCGAGGTGTTCACCTGCTCGTGGCCGCTGGACGGCGGCCGGACGCGGCTTCGGTTCCTAGCCGAGCAGGTGTCGCATCACCCGCCAGGTGAGCCGCCGCACCGTCATCTGGCAGACACCACTCCGGGACTCCGTCGTCGCAACCCTGCGGTGACACTGGAAAGTCCCTGCTGTAGCCACGGCTAAACAAAAAGGTCCCTGAAATTTCATTTGTCTGGGATAGGCAGAATCTCTGGTTACGTGCCTTCCAAAAATGTCCGTCTTCACTGGTGGGCCGTTGGGTTGCGGTGCGGACTGGCCGGCCCGCTGACGCGTGCCGTGCGCCGCCACCGCAGTGTCGGCCATCTGCGTGAGCTGCGCCGAGCCGGAGCTCAGCCTGCAGGCGACGGTCGGCTGCCGGGCCCAGTACGTCAACTCGGCCACGGTGACGCTGACCGGCGAGGCGGCGCTTCACCTGGTCCACCGCGCCGAGACCTACACCTTCAACTATCCAGCGGTCGCTCTTAGGTGAGGCACACACACCGCTACCTGCAACTGCCGGCCGGCCATCAATTACGTTGCCCATGAAGGGAAAGTGGGGACGATGATAGAGCGTGAGGGAAGCGTAACAAGGGGAGGAGATGTTTTCAACACCGTAACGTTACGCTCAGGTGTGATTGCATATCGCAATTCACCCCCAACCATTCTTCGGTCGCCTTCATGTCGGGCATGCAAACCAGACTGTCCCACAAGGCCCAGAGCCAACAACACGCCAACAGGACCCAAGGCACTCAGCCTGTCCTCCTTAAGTCAGGTAGACTACGGTAGCCTCCCTGTTAACAAGGCCCAAGGCGCTCGGCCTGTCCTCAGGTCAGGTAGACTACGATGGCATCCCTGTTAACGTATTCTAAGGTCGAGGCCGGCATGCCGGTCGTATGTAACGACCATGCCACGCTAACCTGGAACACTGCTCACGAAGAGATTTACCACTGACCGTTGACAGGAAGAGATTCCTGGCCACGTCTGTCTGTGAGGCGGAGTGGTGCGTGTTGGGGTGCCAGCTGTCCGACGGGTGTGCGGCAGGTCGCTGCTGAACGAGCGCTGGGTGGAGCTGGGGGGCCAGGTGAAGATCGCGTGCCAACAGACCGGCTACTCTGCCTCGGTGACATTCCACACCAAGGTACCGCCGCGCGCTGGTCTTGGCCGGGTGGTCCCAGTTACAGGTTGGCTTGACACCCCTCCATTTACAAGGCGTTTTGTCAGCAATATCAGGTCAGACATGTCTAGAAAAGTCTGGTGTTTCCCGTTTAATTGCGCCGACTTTTTGTGGGTCATTTTACCCGTAACACCGTGTTTTCGGTCCTCTTCGAAGCCAACCGCACTAGAAGGTTGGAATTGCTATAGTGTATTGCCAAAATGAGTGTTACTTGGTGGTGCGCCCATGTGTCGGCTGCACTCAGCGACGACGCTCTTCTGTGGACGCCCGTCGTGACGTGTGTGGCGGTCGTGCGCCGTCAGCCGCTGTCTGACGAGGGCGAGCGGCACCGCGTGACGGCCGAGGTCCGGTCCCAGGACGGCAGGCTGGTCTCCAGACTCCAGGGCAACTGGCGGGGCCAGGTCCAGCTGACCGGGCCGCAGGTGAGCTGATGCCGCTTGTCGATACGTTTCGTGATTGACGGTGTACAACCACGACAGCTTAGCATTAGCAGTTACTCGCCGAGTGCCCAAGGTGCCAGTGTACTGACTGCGGCCGGGCCGGCAGGGCGAGAGCCGGACGGCGGACTGTGACGCGCCGGCCGGCCGCCGCTGGGTGCGGCCGCTCGGCCACCAGACGGCGCACGAGTCGCGGCGCGTCTGGTCGGGCGTCACCGCCGCCCTGCTGGCTGGTGACGCGGCACGCGCGGACCGCCAGAAGCAGCTGGTGGAGGAGGCGCAGCGCGACAGGGCCGGCCTGGGCCACGCTCCGCGGCATTTCTACCCGCACGAGCAGAGCTGGGTGTTCCGGCCGGCAGCCACCTGAGCCGGCGGCGGCGGCGGGCGAGTGCCGCGCTCGTGACTCGTGCGAGGCGCGTGGGGCGGGGCGGGACGGACGTCAGCGGGCGGGATTGACAATGGATTGGCGCAGAGGGCCCAGCATTATTATCAGCTCGCTGGGCTGGCAATTATACGGAGTGATGCCTGGTCGGCGGCCAGCGCGCGCGTGCTGCGAGTGGTGCGGGCTCCCAGCCGGGGCTGACCGGGAGGCCCAGAGGACGCCAGCTGGGGAGCGGGTGGGCAGGCGTGCGCTTACCGGTACTGGAGAGCTGCTGGCGGCGGCTGCGGCGGCTGAGTGTTGTCTCGGCGTGGCCGACAGCCCGGTGATTTGAAAGGGTAACTTCTGTTATTAGTGCGTATCACGTGACCTGCTGGATTCGAAGAAAACGTCTTAGAATTTTGTGACGAAAAATTGGCAAGCGTTCATTGCATTGAGAACATATCAGACAACCATTTGAAGATATTTGTAACCCGAAGTTTGTGAAAGCTGACTTTCGCGGGCGAGTGCCGTCTGCGGCGATGCCGCTGCTGTTGACATATCTGGCGGTCTGTTTAGCGGAGATGCGGAACACGCGGCTGGTCGACCGCCCGCTCGGTCCTGCGTAGCTGCTTTTACCAGTTTGTTTATCCACGTGCACGCATGCGGCATTCCGCGCGCATTTATCGCAATACGAGCTTTATGGCGCGCGCTACGTGCGTCGGGTCCGGAGCTTGGGTTAGTGGACGCCCTGTTTGATACTGTGTACTCCTTCTCAGCTGTGCCTACGCCTGTCCTATTCGTGTTTGGCGACCGCGTACGGGACGTCGCGGTGGTGTGGGAGGGGGAGGAGGCGACGGCTGGGCTGCTACGAAACAATCGGTGGCGGCGGGCAGCTGTCATTGCCACTGTGCGTCCGGCCGTCGGCAGCTACAGCTGATGCCTCCTGACAGCGTGTCAAACAATATATTACGCCTGCAATATGCCGTCGGGTCTCTTGGCGCTGCTGCCTGCGGCTGACGGGTGCGGGCCGCACAACTCGCGAGACAGCACGAGGGCGTCGGCACGACACGCAGGCACGGCCGCTCACACACACACACACACACACTCACACGCACGCACGCCGTCCAGGTGTACACCAATGGCCAGACGCCAGTAGGCCCCGCAGCGGCGAGAAGACCGCCACCCCTGGCGGAGGGCCGAGCTGAGCTGGAGCTAACCGCGCCTCAGACGGCGAGGCACCACACGCCGACAGCTCACCTGCTGGTCACTGTATCACATGGAGGGGTAAGCGTACTGCAACCTGCGCGAGGTCACGGCTGACCGGCTGACCCGGGCCCCGCCCGTCAGGACGGTCGGTGGGCCAATGGTCGGGTTATCTCGCTTGGCTCGGGGCCCGGCGGGACACGGCGCCGTTTGAGGAGTGTCGGTCAGTCGCTTTCCCGCAACCACTGCTGTCGACCGCACCACAGCCCGGCTAGTGGCCAGGTCGCAGCAGGTCTCAGGGTCCCGGTCAATGGCGGGACGGGAGGACGGCGAGGGCACGGGCGGCGGCGTCAGCGAACCACACCTTGAGAGCCATTCAATGTCCGTATGCTCCGTCGGGAGCGGGGTCGTCAGCCACGTGTCATCGCGCGCGTCTCATCGCGCCCCGTCGGAGTGTTGCGAACGACAACGTAGCACCCATGTCCGTCCCCAACTGTAGTGATGCCATTAGTGCCACAGCCGGCCTCTATTGGCGTGTGGCAAGCAGTAGCATCAAGGTGGAAGCGGACCGGTTTAATGGCGTGTCCACGTGTATGCATCGGTGGCGGCGGCCCGCGGCCGAAATCATGCCTCCCTTAAGCGTGGGCCCATGACTGCTGTGCAGGGTGTGGAGGTATGACCCCAAGGTGACCTCTCCGTACAGGCGTTGGCGGCATCGCGAAATGTTAATAATACTGCAGTGTAGTTCTGGACGCATCAGCAGCACGCCAACTGCTTGGAGAGCAGCAGCGCGCAGCGGCAAGCGTCGCCATGTTTGAGCCATCAGCTACCGCTGAGAATAGCACCAGTCGTGGCATGGCAATGGCAGACGCGCCACTGACAGCGCGCGATACGATATCACAAGAGCACAATATCGCTGGGAGAAGCACGGCAGAGGCGCACTGAGCGTGCTAGCGGTAGCTTGGCTGGCCGTGGCGCCGCGCGGGCGGGGTGACGTCAGAGCCGTCAGTGGCCGCCATGGTGTCAGCAGCGGCAGCGGCGTCGGTGCCGACAGAGCAGACAGGTGCCGGTCGTCATCAGGGACGTCCCGGCACCTCTGGTGCCGCAGACAATTCAGAGGACAACAGCTCACATACGGCTGGAAACGACAGGTCCGCTGGGAGTCAGGCGACGCACCCGAAGTGACGCGTAAACGACAGGTCCGCTGGGAGTCAGGCGACGCACCCGAAGTGACGCGTAAACGACAGGCCCGCTGGGAGCCAGGCGACGCGTAAACGACAGGTCCGCTGGGAGTCAGGCGACGCACCCGAAGTGACGCGTAAACGACAGGTCCGCTGGGAGCCGAGCGACGCGTAGACAACAGGCCCGCTGGGAGTCAGGCGACGTGTAAACGAAAGGTCCGCTGGGAGTCAGGTCATACGCCCGAAGCGACGCGTCAGCCGTGTTACAGTGCATTCGGAGGGAGTGTAACGCCTCGATGAGGCCGGCCGGCCAACCCCTGAGAATACCGACGCGACGCCAGTGTCGCTCAGACATGAGTAATTCCACCACGACACAGCTTAATCACTTGGTGCCACGCCACTAACACAACGAGTGGATGGGACGGTATGATCGCTTCTGTCCATGATTTGTTTTGCAATAACCTAAGGGTGCTTGAGATAACTGGTACCCTACAGGTCTACCATTATGTGACGTCAGAAGACGCCCTCACTGCGTAGCGCGTTCAGGAATGACTAGAGCGCGCTCACTCGATGTGTGGGTTGGAGGATGCAGCAGAACCAAGGACCCCAGTCACGTGCCCTAGCTCGTTTGTTTCTCCGGACATTTTCATCTCTGTAAGTCGCGGTAAGGGGTGAGGGGAAGTGAAAGCAGTCCTTCCATTGTACCAACCATGCCCTATCACGGCAACCTTCGCCTTAGTCAATAAACATGCTATGCCCCATGTCCATGGGTGTTACGACGGCAGGATGGTCATGCCAATCCTAACTTTCCCGCAGCACGATTTCGCACTGCCGAATCTTCCCTCGTCATGTACGTTTTTATCCTCGCATATTAAAACTACCCCTTTCAGGTCAGGATGCTCCCAGGATTCTAGTTCCTCCCTTCCCGGTCCTAGTTTAACCCCTCTCCCACTTCAGAGACGTGGTTACACCCGTACCCGTCGCATAGTCCAGTATAGGCGTGTGTGCTGAAACGTGAGGACGAGCGCCTGGATCGACAGAAGCAAAAACTTACGGGCGACCGCTATCTGAACAGCGTGCATCAGCCCACGACTTCTCGTTTGCTAAAATGACTATGTCCAGCTCTAACACGTCAGCATGCCTGTGATCTGGGCGACATTGCGGAAAAGACTGTCGCGTTGGTTATCCGCTCGACCCCAGCCAGTGCCTGACTTGACCTGACTCGTCCCAGCTACAGCCGCCTCTGGTGCCCTGCCAAGCTCTGTCATCCGTTGGCCGCCAGAGCGCGGCCGGCTCAGCGCCGGTGGCGCGGCGGGACCACGGGTCAAGCCGGGACGGCGCCCACCCTGAGGACGCCAGGCCGGGCGGCGCCGAACGCTCCCAGAAGGCGCTGCTGCCAGACCGCGCCAGCGCCACTGGGTGACATCGTCCAGTGGTGGTCAGGGCGTTGCCGGCAGGCCTCGCCGACCGGCCGGTAACCTGGCGGCGGCAGCAGTGACGGCACCAGCCATTGACCACCGGCCCCCGGCCCCCGGCAGTGTCGTCTATCGTCGTAGCCGCGCATCAGTTCTTGCGCTTCTCGTTCAGCTTGGCGGCCGCCTTCTTCTTCATCAGCTGCATACGTCGCTCGGCTGAGACCATGGAGTTGGGCGGCGGCGCGGCGCCGCCGGCTGCCTTCCCCGCGCTCGGCGAGAACGGCGGCGGACGCGAGCCGGCTGAAACGGTCGGCCGGCGCGTCACCACCTCCGGGCTGCGATAAATGGCACGGCGAGGGCACGGAGAGGCCGACACCCTGCGCAGCATCAGGCGCGTCTCGCAGCTAGGAGGGCGGCGAAGCGTCAGCCAACGCCGACCGGCTCCTACCACGCACATGTTACACGACAACTTCAGTGAGACGGGCACAAACCAGCTGTAACCAACGCCTGCGATCCCCGGGATGCAGCACGTCAGATGCGGTCAGAGCGGTCTGATGGGAATGATGCATCTGACTGCTCATCACCCAGCCGGTACAGTGGCGGCAGGTGTTGGCCAGCCGGTGGACGGGGCGCAGTGCCGTATGCGGGGACAGAAAGGGTCACCGCTGACCTGTCGACTTGGACGTGAGCTGGGTCTTGGCCGTTGGCGGGCCGCCCTGGCCGGAGCTCTTCGACAGGTGGAGCGAGCCCAGCGACTTGGTGGACGCTTTCGACTTGAGCAGACTGGCACCGGGACCGGGCCGGCTGCTGCTGCCGCCGCTGCCGGCCGACTGCGCGGCTGAGCCCTGCGGCGTCAGAGGAACGTCAGGTGGTGACGGCGACAAACTGGCGTTGGCAACTGGCGCTGACTGCTGCTGCTGCTGCTGCTGCTGCTGCACCGACAGCCGGGCTCGATGGCGCACTGATATGGACCAATCCTGGGATCGCAGGCAAGAGAGAGCGGTAAACTGTATGGTGCTTTGTGGAGCTGTGAAGCGACTGGTGACAAACCTAGTGGCGAAAGCGTTGCTTGTTTAAGCGAGAGCCGAGGCATAGCAAATGAGAAACTTGAGAATGAGAACCGAGACCAAATTGGTGATAATAGCACGATCAATGCTGGTATGGTGACAAAGACTAGTAAACATTCGAGCAGGAAATGAAGCACTCGAAAGATCTAACGTGATCGGCGCTGCAGCATTAGACCTGTTCCCGTACGAACACAACTGGTTGATGAGCTGTGACTAAAACCCCTTACTTTGTTATCTTTTTTAACTAGCAGGCTATCAGACTTATTCTTCTCAAGCTTGTTGGCTGCCGCGGCGGGCTTCAAGAGTGACGAGCCTGCCAACTGAAGGGTCAACACCGTTACTTACCCGGGACGCGGACCGGTCGCACGCCCGGTCGCCCGGCGAAATATGGCCACACGCTCCCAGCACATGCTGCCGTACCATGGAAAAGCGAATAGTGCAGCACATAACCTGACCACAGGCTATAACCAGCAATATCCTGTGACGCGCGACAGAAGCCCACAGCCACCTCGCGACAGCTTCACAGCAAACATAGCTCGCAATCATAACTGTGCAGCTTTCCCTATTTTTTTAGTGCAGCGCTGTCCTGCGACACCCCGATCAGCGGATAAAACTGATGTGTCCATGCTGGACCTACAGCTGTGTAGCAGCTAAGGCTAAAGCACAACCAAGGCCACACAGTCTTCCGCCGGCATGCTCAGCCACTTCTGAACACGCAGCGCGGGGCAACAGGCTGTGAAGTGTGAAGGGACAAACAGCAGCAGAAAGCTACGTCAATGAGCGGGACAGTGCCGAAACGTAAATCAATCAGGTAAGAGATAGAGAGGTAACAAACCAGGCCTCAAAGAAAACAAGCAAAAAGGGGCGAAAAATAACGAAGAGACAAGGACACCCCCGCGCGCAAAAAGGCGGGGCAATGCACACAGCGCGCCAAAATCGGGTGAGGCCGGAAGGGAGGCGGGGGGCACCGACCGCGGCCTGCTGTTCCTTGCAGTTGGCGCAGAGCCAAACGGCGCGCGTGTCGCCCCGCTCCTGTTCGGTGATGGCCGGCCGGTGGCACTCCTGGTGGTACAGGCTGCCGCACTCTTGACATTCGATCAGCTGATTGCCCGTGCTTACACCGATGTTCCTGGGGGCAAACGCACAACAGGGTGTAGCATAACTCACACGCACGCACGCACGCACGCACGCACGCACGCACGCACGCACGCACGCACGCACGCACGCACGCACGCACGCACCCACCCACCCACCCACCTATCGCCAGTCGCCTTCTTTATGTCGGTGGTCCGTATGCGGGGCCTCACCTACAGACGACACACGCCAACTGAACCATAAAGTCCATCTCGAGCCCGGCCGTGTCGTTTAGGTCCGAGTCCTCCGACTTCTTGCTGGCGTCCGAGTCGCGGGACATGGTGGGCGACGGCGTGTGCGATTTGAAGCCCACCGGTGAGTCCACGCGCGCCCGCTTGATGTTCATGTCGCCGAGGTCATCCTTTATCTGTGCGCACAGACAGTGATGACGTGTGGACGGACGACACAATGCTGACACTTAGGAAGAGCTGGGGCTTGTGTACTCAGTGCAATGAGTTTTTTTTGTAATTTACGGGGCGAGACCATCGCGTAATCGAATAAAAAGTTGCACAGGGATTTGAAGAATGATTCTGAACAGACATCAGCAAATTTTAGTCGGAATCTTTGCATATGGGTAGCAATATCCGTACTGTTCCAAGCTTATCATCAGACTGCAAACGTACTCCATTTCTGAATTAGAATTATCCCCTGATGTGCCTCAATACGCCGAGCATTCGCTCATCCCTGACCACAAACCACAGCTCTGCCCTACGCTCACTCCATAGTAACGCCCGATGAGACCCGAACAGTGCCTGTGTCGAGCACACACCACCAACCCCGCCAGGCGTTACGCCTGGGCCTAGCTACAACGCTAGATGGCCTAGCCAAGGCGCTGTGCAGCGCGTGCGGGCTGCGCCGCCAGGTATGGGCGCCGCCCAGCACTCACCTTATCGAGCCCGCGCTTGAGACCGGCGTCGGCGGCGCGGCCCAGGCCCGGCGTGGAGCGTGGACTCATGTTGGCCGGCGAGAGCTTGCCGCCCGTGCGGCCTGAGCGCAGCCGCACCTCGTCCAGCAACGCGCGCAGCTGGTCGGCCGAGTCCCGGGAGCGTGAATGCAGCAGGCGCAGGCCGCGCAGGAATACCGGGTCCAGCTCCATGGCCGACTCGGCCACCCGACGTCAGCTGGGCCGCTGACGCCTCCTCACTGGTCGGCGGAAGCACCACTTTTAGTATTGGTGACTGGGAGGTGCCAACGAAAGTTATGGGCATGATATGCCAAAATAAAATCAAGAGAACAAAATGAAATACCTGCTACCTCATCGTGCCTTCATTCACGGTTCCTCTGCTTAAAACAGCTTTGGTATATCGCTTCGTTTGATCACAAACAAAAATTTGGCACTTCGCTCTGGTTTTCGGAGCAAAAATTCTGTCAGTGTGGGGACACAGGATGTTTAAGATGAACGTCAATGCTCGGGTTGCCAATAAAATAAGATTCAACCGCCGCTCACTAGATACAGCCAAGCTTGAATAACTTGTTAAAAATCATGCGAAAAAGTTAATGATCCAAGCAATTCTACTCCTTTTTCGAAAATGGTGCTTCTGCTTGGATGCAAAGGTAAGCACAAACACCACTACAGCCAGCACTAGCATGACAGGAGCACATATAACCAAGCCATTCTTGGATGACGTAGCAGAAGGCCCCACGATCCAGAGAAACTCTGTTCAGTAACAATCAGTGAGTCTCCAGAAACATACTCCTTGGTTTAACCTTGAGCCCGGCCAGTAAAGGGTCCCTCAACATCAGAGCCAGCAGATACAATTCAGTAGACAGCTGGTGAACTCACATCGCCATATTGTAACTTGTTTTCCTGTCACATGGCAGAACAACAACCCTTCATGTCAGCCTAACCATACTGCAGTGGAACATAATATTTTTAACTAAGACTGCATGCCCAGGGGGCGGGGAATTTGCGGCAATCAAACAGGCGATGAGAAGTGGGCGTATGCCATCTGCTTGCACTCAGCACCAGGAGAGGAATGGACTTATATGCAATCTCAGATCTGCATGCAATCTGGGCAATGGCATTAAAAGGGTGTTTGAAATGTTCCCTCATATGAGCAACAGTTTCAACATGTCTTGTTCCCTACACATTTTGTCCATACACATTTAGTTATTTAGCTTCACTAATATTTAGTATTTTTAACAAATTATAGATGATACAAGCACTTTAAGATGAGCCTTCAGAAACTATTCATTGCTGGCAAAACTGCCAGACAATGGCATGTCACAAACCATGAACATGGGCCAAGAACCACGGCATTCAACAAAACATCATGACCATTTCATTACAAAAGCATTACTACCCACCATCCCCCTTCCCCCCCCCCCTGATGGCACGACACCTCACATCAACTACTTTTTGTATGGTCCCATTTGCACCGGAGGGTGCCTAAGGTACATGAAACAAAGTAAGCTCGCAGCTAGTAAATAATGCATTGTATTCCATTAAATGCATCATACTGGTTCGTCCCGGAATTCAGGCTAAATAGACCTTTTCTACTATTTAATTCAAACCTCTTGAATGCATGGGTTCCTGAGAGCAGGCCCCGCATTAAGTGTGCTTGTTGCGCGAGTACGGGCCCCCACCACCCGATCACAAAATCCAGATCAATGGTAGAATTCGGTAGCAAAGTTAAAACGTGCCGTCATGCTCGACATGGTCCGTCCTGCCCTCTGACGCCACCTGACCTTTAGCGCGGTTGCTGTCGCTGGCTGCAGACGATACCAGTCAAGGGCAGCTTGCTGGGCCATGGTAGGGTTAGGCATTACACAGCATTTCCCTATGGCAGCAATCCTACTGTGTTTACAGTTTTCAATGGACCTTAACACGTTGTGAGTTTGATACCAGCAGTCCTGTAGCGATACATGTGCTGGATTGTGGTGATGCATGGGATAAATTAATAGTATAAAGGGGATAGGTTCATCTAGTTTCTGTTACCAAGGGATGTCACCATGGGGGAGATTACATCACCAAGGGGTCACAGCCAGCTTTGGCTGCGGCTTCAAGCTTCAGGAAAAGACTCAGATAAAGATCAGTGTTCCGTTCATGCGTCCGGATTCGGCTCGGGCTTCGGGGGACGTCTCACGGCTGGCTTTCGCCTCAGCTTTGCGACATGCTAAATATAGCTTTGACTTCGTCTCCATCCCATCCTAAAATTCCGGCTTCAACTCTGAGATTTTTTTTCACTGCAGCTATGGGTTTAATTCACATAGACATCCCTGTCTGTCCGTCTGCCACAATCCCAGTCCGTCCCGTTACCCTAACATATCGCATAACTTTTCAAGGTTGCCAGGTATGCACGGCTCAAAGACAAAACTGGCCAGTCATTCCCAAGACCAATTAACACTTGAAGACGACCATAGAAGTAATGCACGAAAAGTAAAACGCAAAACGTTGTATGCATACCAAAGCACAAGACGAGGACATAAGTCCGGAGAAGTTCCCTCGCTAAATGTTAACACCTTGCCTCAACCGCTACGCAAAACCCATATATTTCCTGACCACATTCAGCTCTAGCTGCCGTGAAAGGGGTTTTAGTACCGCAGAACAGCGCTGCACGCTAGATTCGGCTTAGGCTTCGGCTTCAGCCTCTTGATTTTGAAATAATAGCGTTGGCTTTAGCTTCAAGCTTCCGTAGCTTCGCGTTTAACACGCGCTCGGGCGGGGGTCAAATTGACCCCCCGAAGGTTTTTCCAGAATAATTTCCGAACGGCGCGGTAAAGCCGCACCAAATTTTTGCATAGCTGTGGACAATTGAATAGCAGATCGTTTGGCATCAATAATTTAGATGTACCGTGTAAGAACGCTGACCTATGGCAGGTCAAAGTCAGGCCATGGTGTCAGCGTAGTCACTTTGTAGGGAATCGTTCAGTCTGATGCAACAACGGAGCATTACACAAAGCCATACATCTCTGAAATGCTTTCTTAGGCAATTCAACAAAGGAATGAGCAAATTGTATTGACCTAGTGTCAGGTATGAAGGTCAGACCAGGGTCAAAACCAACCTATTTCATTACTCTAGGGCTTGCTGTATGGGATAGTTTCTGGAGTTCATTTCATTTCATTCATTTCATTTCAGTTTATTGATAGCAGGAGCTGCATTCTATATCTTCCATGAACTTCTTAGAGGTCAAAATAGGTCATTGACCTAAAATGACCCTGGTCAACATTTGGTTTTCAGGAGCATGCTGTCTGGCATAAACTTTGCTGCTTATTCAAATGCAAAACTCAGAGCAGTCTTGCTTCAGATTCAACTTCAGAGTCAGGCGGATGGATTCATCCCCATGCCTGCTACACCACATCAGAAGTTTTAGTTTTAAATTATTTGGAATCAAATCTTTATTTTAACCTTCATTAGCACATGCTCTTCAGTCATGTCAGGCCAGTGAGTTGCTATGTAACCTCTTAAGGTTCACAGAACAGTCATTAATAAAACTCAGTGTTCTGATTTTTCATGGCAAAACATGCATTCGTAAACTAAGCTGAACCTGGTGCACACAAACATTCCTCAAGGAACCAGTTGATCCTGAAGAGGTCAATGACTTGTCTAGGGTCAGATGAATATACAGCCTATGGCCCTTTTGAACTTAAGATCAGATCTTGGGGACCATTTGGCATTTGGTATGACTAAGGATACAATGATGTGCATGTCTGTAATTATCACAACTTTTGAGCTTGTTCCAAACCATTACCATTTGACCTAGAAGTTTTTTCAAGGATGCAATAAATGTTTGAACTATTGTCCTTAATACCTGTAATTGGTGGTGACATGGCTGTATGATGGTGAGTATTTTGGTTAGCTCATTTGGTGGCCATCATCAGGTGTTATTGAGTCATGGAAATCGCTAGAAGAGTTTGGCTTTCAGCCATACACATGTTACAGTATAACTCTCCATAATCTGAATTTCATCATTGCAGCTGTCATTGGGTGTTAATTTGGCGAGGTTTGTTTTATGACATTCTAAAAAAAATAGCATAAAACTATTATGTCTATCATTATGTTATATTGCCAACACAATTCTAGAATAAACTATATGGTATGGTGAGCTTAACAAACAAATAAAACAGCACTATGTCACAAACATGGCTGCTTTGATAATTCCATGCCATAATGCAAGTTTGCATGTCAAGCATATTTTCTTTGACCAATTTTTAATAACATCATGCCTGCATGTGGTAGAAGCTTTCATAGTGAGTATGGAAAGGGCTAGAAGGGTTTGGCTTTCAGCCATACACATGTCACACTCTAACTCTCTATAATCTGAATTTCATCATTTTGGCTGTCATTGGCTGCCAATTTGGGGAGGTTTGTTGTATGACATTCTGAATAAATGACATAAAACTATTCTGTTTATCATTGCTGTCATATCACTAACACAATTCTAGAATGAACCATACAGCATGGTGAGCTGAACAAATAAATAAAACAAATTGGGCTGGTGCTGGGGGTGGGTGGGGTGACAGGGGGGACTGAAGTGCATTATGAGCATATCATCCTAATTGCTGGATCACCCTTTTCTGGGTTCCATGCAACCCAGAGTGCAAAAAATAACAAAAACATGATATACTGAAAATGTGAGGCATAGCAGCAATCCCCATTTAACAGTTTCAGCAATTAGAAGCAGGAAATCTGAGACCTCTGAGTCAGGTCCATGGATGTCACTTATTTCAGCCCATAAATAACCATTGTTTCTAGGAATGTGATGTTTTAAGTACATATGCGCATGAATGGTTTCAGACAAATTTGTTGAAAATTTGGCACAATTTGATCTGGACCAAGTCTGGCTGTTCATGCTCCAAGTTACATGCTCAAAACATCATGTAAATCAACAGGACAACAGATCATTGTTTGCACACTGGCATAAAACTGAAGGCACAACTTTAACGCTGAGACACTTCTACTTGTAATGCAGGACTGAACCATACCACAGCCAATTGTTTGGCTTTGAGGGAAGAAAAGCAGCTTTTCAAAATAATATTTTTGCATCATTCTACAAAAAGAATACAGAAACACTAGCTGGGTCCTTTTCCGTGAAAAGACTTCAAACTTACCAATAATTCCAGCACCTCACGGGCAGTCTCTGGCTTCACCCGCAGGCACGTCGACTTGCTAGCGCCGAGTGCAAGGCTTGGTCTCTCGATTTTACCTCACCCTCTTTTCACGGATTCGTATGAACAGAGGCGAGGCCCGTTCAATCATATCATAGGCCCAATCATACCAGTAACGCCCCTGCCAACCAACACACACAAGAGTCAAGATACCACAACAGGTACACAACGTACGAATGGCGTTTATATACCCATCACGTCCACACACCAAGTACACAAATTCACAACACAAAGGAGCAACCCGCCGTCTTTACTGAGCACCGAATGTTGCGCAGGCCAGACATTTACTAACATAGTAGGGGCTAGGATTTGGAATAAGCGGTTAAGTTAGAATCCTCTCTGCTTTATAGTTAACTATTGCCAATTCTATGTGATACAGTAGGTTAACATGCTAAATTTTTAGAGTTTAATTGTAGAACCCTATAATTCAAGATCGGTGTAAGAATTTTACACCGGTCTCTCTGAAACGATCTACAGCATACTGAATACCTTAGAAGCAAACCCATATCACGTGAAGTATCAGCTGATTTGTTTTGAAATGCTTCTAAATCTGTTCTTGCGTTCGGGCTGTAGCGGTGGTCAGGTGGGGGCTTGGGGCCTATTTGTGGGTTTTCAGCAACTTTCACTGCATTCTTTTCTGAAATAAGATTGCTTATCACTACAGGTGCATTGGAAGGTGAGTGTTCGCAGTCTAGGTTGCTCAATCCGCCTGACCAGAGGGACACACTGCCACCTTTTCGTGTATTGATCAACAGAAAACAGTTTTTAATCTCAAGACTAGGAGATAGCTGTTCCTGTTCCGAGTTCATGGCATGTGTGGCAGGTGGCCAAAATAATGATATAGTTGCTGCCTCGGCTAGGGTTATGTATTGTTTGATACCACACTGCCGTATTAAAGCTAGCCTCCCACTGATTTTTAAAGTCTATATTTGCCAGTCCTTGAATAATCCATCCACTGTTCCAGATGCGTATAGGACATCAGTGCACTTAACTTTGCCATTGTGTGTATCAAACATGGGCTGGGTCAAATTACACAGAATTTCTAAGCTATCTTTCTGTGATAAAATTTTGCAAGTGTTTGTTGGAAGCTACTGTTTGGAACATCATAAGTCCATGAAATGTTGCCTTTTTGTTCTGAAACTAGTTGTGGCTATGTGCTAGTATGTAAGCACTTGGATTTAAAATGTGCCTTGCTAAAAGTTTTGTAATTTGACTGCTGTGCGAGACATTTTGGATCAACATGTATTCATTACATTCTGACATTTTGGTGCAAAATGTCATATCTATGCAAATGTATAGTTTTCTCTGTATGGCTTGTAATAAGAATAACAAAATTATTTAATAAGTAAATACAATTGAATTATTCAAAATGTCTCCATCATATCTAACTCACTCTTTATAACAGTAGCAAATACAGATGCCTTCTGTTTAGAAGATCACTATATGGCAAAGACAAAAAGGTTTAACACATGCCTGGATGACTGGTTGAATGTTCTCCTTTTGGTTTGGGGACAGTTTAACCCCCCAAGATATCACAAACTAAGAGAGCCAGACATACCACATCTAAAGGGTGTGTTGGTCTACATATGAACTTACTTGGTTCAAATTTTGAGGTTTGTAGACTATGACCATTAGGCCAAGTTAGGTCAAACAAGATCAAACTCTTGTGTTGTGTCCTAAGTGCCCCAGACCTTTTCACACAATCACTGTGAACCTAGATGCTTGTTGTAAGCAAAGGATCACTGGTGCTCATTCAGGCTCAGTGACTCTATTTGACCTTTTTAAGGTCATGGGAACCAAAATCATACAAGACTGCCTTGATTTTTACATTTAAGAATGCATCAAGGATGAGGCTAGCCAGTATGTTCCTAAAAAAATTGATCTAGATCATTTTAGGTCAGTGGCCTATTCTGACCTTAAGTCTATGGAAGATATCCAATATGGTTCTTGCTATCAAGAAATTCAAAATTAGCACCAGAAACTACCTTGTACAGTATGCTCAGGAGTAAGAATAGGTTTATTTTTACCTTGGTTTAATCTTTGTGCCTAACTCCAGGTGAATGGAATTTGTCAATTCAGGTGCTTTATTGTCAAATAAGCTATATCAGTGATGTGCGACTTCATCTAACACTGTTGTTGCTTTAGAGTTAATGGTTTGCTAGAAAATGTGTTTGCTGAATCCATTGCCTGACTTTGATATGCTGTAGGTTGGTGACTTTGTAAAGTGCTTCTAAATTTTGTACTAAATGATCCATTATTCCATTGTCTTTGTTATGAAAATGAAGTGGGGCCATGCCACACCATTTGGAAATATTTATGGGAAAACATTTGGGGGCAGTCAAATTAAACCCCCAACCCAGTGGGTGTTAAGCTTGACTCAACATCTTGAAAGTCTTGCCTTGTGCATTATTAGCTCATAGCAGTGTGCTTGTGTGCATTATTAGCCCATAGCAGCAGCCATGCTGATATGTGTCCAGATGTAACAGTGCATGTTAGGTATACTTCCTTGGCTTCAGCTTAAGAAAGCAAAACATGCAGTATCATTTCTGTCAGCATTCATTAGTTGCCTCGTACCTTTGTTCCAGCTTTGCAAGCCCGCCATGGAGTACTGGCTGATATCAGCCCCTGGTGAAAAAGACCTGCCAGCAGACCTGGGACTCACTTCAGAATGTCACTGCCAAGCAGGGTGACCTGTCAGCAAACTGGAAGTTTCATATTCCAGATTTGAAGGTAAATGATTTACAGAGCTATTCCTGTGTGCTAATATGAGATGAGGGATACAAGACTGACTGACTGAGACCTGGGCCACAACCCTGTCACATTTTACAGAGACCCTGTACTGGCGCTTGCTGGTGGAGGAGTGCAGACTGTCTTAATGCTGGGTGTAGGTTCACTATTGGCTCAAATTTAGCAGTTTTTGAACATGAACACCCCACTTGTTGTGCAAAAATTAATTCACTATGGAAAATTGTCAGTCACTTGTTTGCCCTATTTTCAATGTACCGCATTACAAGGAAATTGTGAAGATGGCATATTATGTTTGGGTCCCATGAAAATTGGATGACTTGGTTCAGATCTACTGGCTCCCTGTGTGTAATAAGATATTAGGAGCCTAAGCCAACACTGGAGAGAGATGAGCGTAGGGGTAGGGAGGGAAGCAGAGTACAGAGAGGGGGAAGAGAGCTCTGATAGCCTGGGACAAAAAGTGGATGGCTTCAGCCTGTCAGGTACTCACATGTAATGATCGTCAGCAAACAGTTAACTGTTATCAGTGTTTGTGGAATCAGGCCAGCCGACTGTTGGCAAGAGCGGTGTTGAGTTTGACTGTTCTCCTGGGTAGAGTATGCTGTCACGTGACTTGTGTGCTGTGTAGTGACTGGTCAGTGTGTGACGCCCTGGCAGGACCGTTTTGGTCGACCGTTTTTTCCTGGCTTTACACTCGAGTGTGTTCCAGGTTGGCACGCTGGACCTGTTGGTCGGTCTCTCTGAGGACCTGGGCAAGCTGGACACATATGTGGAACAGGTCATGAAGAAGGTGTCCAACTACCTGGGCGATGTTCTGGAGGACCAGCGAGACAAGCTGTCTGAGAACCTGCTTGCCAATGGAGGTTAGACGCTGTCCCCTCTGCACAGCAGCCGGAGCTGACCGGTAGCTAGGGTAGCATTGGCTCTGAACGCTTGTCTTTGGTGCGGACATTTAGGATGGCCTTGGAAAGTTACAGCATTCCATGACAGCATACATGCCATGGGCGTAACTGCCGTAGTGAGCCCATACTGTGGCGCACGGTGTGTTCAGGAGTCTGATCATTTCAAACTGGTCATTGACAAGCCGTAGATTACCATCTCTCTGCTGTACACTGTGTACAACAATTGTTCGACCGAGCCTGACACACCGATGGCTGTTCGTGTGCTTCCACCAGTGGACCTGGCCACTTACATCACGCGTTTCCAATGGGATATGGCCAAGTATCCCACCAAGCAGTCGCTCAAGAACATCTCTGACATCATCAGCAAACAGGTGTCTCAGATTGAGGGCGATCTCAAGGTTAAGGCCAACCATTACAACAACCTGAAGAGCAATCTGCAGAACATCGAGCGAAAGCAGACGTAAGCAGTGCTCCGTAAGCAAAACAATAATTGCACTGAAAGGGTCAATGGAATTTAAAGGCTCTCACAGCTACGTTATGTAATGTTGGGGCGTCCTTCACACAGGCGTTCACCAATTTTGCGCGGGCTCGGTCCAGTTGCTACTGCCATGAATAATACAGTGTCGCGCCCCATTGTTTATCATCGCACCAACTAATGAGCTGGCGGCGGGAGGCGTGTCCGCCGCGCTGACGCAGCCGTGATTTTCAGTGGCTCGCTGCTGACGAGGAACGTCGGCGATCTGGTCAAGAAGGAGCAGTTTGTGCACAGCTCGGAGTACCTCACCACGCTGCTGGTGGTCGTGCCCAAGTACGTTGCCGCTCACCGGTCCGGCTGATGGCCGACGTCCTGTCCGCCCCGACGCGTGCCTCTCAGAGCTGCCGCCAGGGGCGCTGCTCGGTCGGTGTCGTGCTGTGCCGCTCTCCGCCTGCGGGCGGCTCGCGTCAGACCGGCGGGGCGTCTGTGCAGGCGGCGCGGCGCCCCGCTCTGTGAGCAGCGCTTTGAACGGTCGGTCCCTGCCGGCAGGATGTACTACCAGGACTGGCATAACAAGTACGAGCGGCTGACGGACATGATCGTGCCGCGCTCCACCCAGATGGTGTTCGAAGACAACGATCACGGCCTCTTTACCGTCTGCCTCTTCAAGAAGGTGGTGGACGAGTTCAAGCAGAAGGCCCGGGAGAACAGGTCGGCTGGGCTGCCCGGTCGCGATCGCGACTTTGTTTCCCACAAGACCATCCTTCAGGCTTTGCGTGGTGTGGGGGACTGGCTGTCCCAGGCGGACTCTTTGTGGGCACGCTTTTGTCTCCAGTGTTTCTACTATTGCCATTTTTGCTTCGTGCCTGCTGCTCTCATAACACCTGTCTTCCCCGAAACTTAGCAGATCGAGTGTAACGTTCGTGTTGTCATGGAAAATACCGAGTCACAAAACATCTTTACATGTTAAGTGATCCAGGAAATGGACAATGACAGACTTGACCTGTCATGTACAATCGTAACGACGGACGGTGTAATTGTGTCCATTTCTCGCATTTTTGGTGGTCTTATAGA